CGGGTGGGGGGCTGCAGACAGCTCCTGTCTGGAGGTGGGATTTGAGGGGCCACTTCTCAGTGAGAGGGAGAGGAGCTGGGGTGGGGGAGGGGAACCAGGTAGCGAGGGGGAGGAGCGGCGAGTGCAGAAGTCAAAGGAGTCTGGCTTGTGTTCTGTGTGGTCCCAGAGCTGAGTCTCACTGTAGCAAGAAACACAGTGACAGCAGTGACCTTTCCTAGCTTTCCTGAGACCAGGGGTGAATGCGTGTGCTTTGTCTTTCCCTCCGATCCTCCCTGCCTCTTTCCTGCTCTACAAGCTTCTTTCCCACTTACCTCTCCCTGTCTCGTTTTTCCCCTCATTTCTCTGCCCTGGCCATCTCTCCCATTCTGTCTCTCTCCAGCTGTCTCTTTTCCTTTCCCCATATGGTGGGTGTCTCTTTCTCCTTCTTATTTCCTCAACTCCTCTGAGGCTGGCAGGTGGGGCCAAGTCTCCAGCCGGGAATCGGGACTCCGTCCCCTCATCCTACCTTCAAAGCCCCCGAGAAGACCCCGTGCAGCCCTTTCCCAGCGGGGAGGGGGGAAGGCAGGTGAGACAGGTGACAACTCCTCACCAGATCACTCGAATCAGGATCCTGCTGTCCACTTGGAAGCTCTCGCTGGTGGAGGCGAATGTGTTGGTAGAAATGGGAAGGGTGACGGACGACTGGACCGTTCCCCCGATGGGTGTCCGGGTAGGTCCAATAGTGGAATCCATCAACGTGGGAGCCAGTGGGTGCGCCGGCGGGGTGGACACGAGGGTGTTCCCCAGCAAATCACGGGGTGGTGGGGTGAGCTCAGGAAAGGGCTCTTGGGTGAGCTCGAATCCACGGACGACCGATGGGACATGTGTCTCCCTCAACGGCGTGGGTGCAGGATCCTCATCAGGAGACAAAATGGGCCCCGGGGCAGGTTCTCCGCGCAGACCCAAAGGTGGGGCCGGGTTCAGGAAGAATTCCGAGGCAGGGACCGCGCCCGGACCAGGACCCGGACCGAGGCTGGCGCTGCGGCTGGAACCGGGACCCGTTCCGGGGCTGGCATTGAGGCTGGAACCGGGACCCGGACCGGGACTGGGGCTGGAGCCATGGTTGGGACCGGGACCGCGACCCGGACCGGTGCTGATGCTGCAGCTACAGTCCGGACCAAGTTCGAGGATCGGATGGCAGTGCTGGCCCGGCCGGGAGTCGGGGTCCTGACCGGGGTTGTAGCCCGGGCAGGGGCCGCAGGCCGGGCCAGAGAGGGGACTGGAGCCCGCGCCTGGCTGTACACGGGGGTTGGGGCGGGGGGTGACCCGGCTGGGATCCCGCCCCGCCCTCCTTCCTGGGGCGGCAGGAACCTCACCAGCCCGAGTTCTAAAATGGAAGGCGACAAGGGGGCACCTTACACCGAGTTACACCCGCTGCACAGGGTCTCGTGCTCAGGGCTGGCGATGCGGCAGGGCCTCTCGATCTCGCCTAGTAATTCCCTGCCCTGAACCTCAGATGCTGCACATGTTAAGGAACACAGCCTGCCCAGCGCTCCCCTCACTCTTGCTAACATTCATGCATTCAGTATGTTTACTGAATGCCTGTTGTGCACTGCTCCTCACCGGATTAATTTGGGGACTACAGTGATGAGGCAAGCCCTGGCCTAGTGATGAGGCTCCCTGTCCTGCAGGGGAGATACACCCATCACCAAACAATAAGCACCCACTGTGGTCAGGGCTGGCGGGGGTAGGCACAGGCAGAGGCAGAAGAGATACGGTGAGGGAAGCCTGGGGACCTTTGGGATCCCAGAAGAACCAGTGCTAGAACCAGTTTGGGGCAATCTAAGAGGGCTTCCCAGAAGAAGGGACAAGTGAGCAATCTTGAGAGAAAAAATAATAGCAACAATAACAGAACTGATGTACTACACACATGCCCACAGCTGGTGAGGGGCAGGGCCAGGACTCACACGGAGGCTGACAAGCTCCAGAGATCTGGGCGGCCTGGCCCTTAACCACTATGTGAATGGCTCTGTCACACTGTGAGCTCCTCCAGGGTGGGGACTTCTCTTGTTAACTGCTGAATACCCAGCTGGTAGCACACAGTAGGTGCTCAGTATTTCTATTTTGACATAGCTTAACACAAGAAACTGGAAAGACAGTACATAGAATTCCTGTCTCATGTTCTCCCTTTCCCCAATAACAACATGTAACCTCGGTTCATGGTGAAAGCCAGCAGACAGCTGTTGTTCCAATACCATAGGTCAGGTACAGACCTTATCTGGATTCGTGGAAGGGTTTGCACGGAAGAGAGTCATGACCCACTGTGCTTCCCAATCCCTGACCCCTTCCTGTATTAAGTCTTGGGCCTGGTCTCAAAAAAAAATCATAAAAGACACCGACTTTTCTGTGTGATGCTAAGCAAGTCTTACCCTCTCTGGGCTTCAGTTAGCCCCTCTGTGAAATAGACTTTGAAATGGCTTTCCTCTTATAATATCAAGAACTAATTTTTACTGGGCATCTACTAGTTGCCAGCTTCTGCTGAAAATGCTTTGCACATGTTAACTTCCTGAATACTCACAATTTTCTGGAGCAGATTCTAACATTATTCTCATTTTACAGATACGGAAAGTCACAGAGAAGCAACTTGTCCAAATAAGTGGCAGAACCAAGATCTGCACCCAGGCAGTCTACTTTCTGTGCATGTGTAGACTTTCAATTTTTTTAATACTATTTTTTTTAGTGATCGTTTAGGTTATTTTATTTATGCTTGTCATTGTGCTAAACGCACTAAGTTTTGGCCCGAAAGATTTAAAGCTCTGATGAAAGAGAAAAAAAAGTTACAAGTTTTCCCTTGATGTGGAATGCCTTCCACCTTAGTCTGCTCTGCTTCCTTCCACCTGTAAATTGAGGGCTTTGGACCAGAATAATTTTTCCTTTCCTGCGAACTCTGATAATTTGAGATGGTCTTCCTTGGCCTGTAGCTGCTACCTTAGGCTAAGCCTGCAGCAGCCCGTGAGGCAAAACCCTGAACGGGGTCTGTGTTTTAAAGAGCCTGTTGAATTGGGTGGAGCTGAATGAGGGTGAATCAGAGAACTCCAGTCATCACTATTTGATAACCCAGCCAGTTCTGCTCCTGTAGTGACTAATGGATGTGTACGGCAATGGTGCCGAGACTCTGCCATGAGTGAGGCAGCCTTTCCACCAGAAGCACATCACAAAGGGGAGTCCATGGACTTGACTGCCTTCCTTCAATATGCAAGTCATTAATTGAAAACATGAAGAGTGTAGCGCATCTTCCCATCTTTGCTTTTAAACTGAATTCTCAGCAGGTTCAAGGCGGCAAAGACCCTTTGCCTCTGAGTATCAGAATCATCTTAGACAGAATAATGGGCTGGCACTGATGTCTGTACTTAATCTCAAATTAAGCACTGTTTTATAATAGGCTTTTGTGTCAATGTCCATTTATTCTTTAATGGTAGAGTTATTCCCCACGACACAGAAATTCAATATAGTGAAACTCAAAGGAAGAATTTATAGGTTTAAGTATGTATTCAATATGGTACCTGTTGGCTGAATTCAAGGAATACGCAGATCCCTTGGCTGATGTTCTTGGCATTGTTGCTGGGCATTGTCCAAGCCGACTTTCCCCTAGAAAATATGGGGAAGGAGGGTTGGCAGAAATTTGCTGATGTAGGCTTATTTTTTTCCCGTGGTAGAAGTAGCATTAAGTGTGTAATTAACTGTCTTATGATATTCCCAAAATTAGGGAAGATTCCCCCTTTGCTAGATCTTCTGCTTTGTTCTATCTCACTTGGAAGGAAATCTCAGGACATGGAAAAGCAGAGACAAGTCAAAGTGTTTGCACTTTCCCTTTATCCACACCCAAAACAGTGCCATCAACATCCCTAGTCACTGCCAGTCTTGCTTCCTACCATTTTTCAAGGACTAAAATAGCTTCTTCAGTTGTCTGAGATCCACACCCCTTGTCTTATTTTTTGTTCTTTCAGTAATTTGAAGGACGAGAAGGGGGTATCTTGTGTCCAACAGCCTGGATGGTTTCACTTCCAAAGGGGGAAGGTATTCCAGTGTTAAACACTGATTGTGAAAGAGGTCCCAATTCTCCATCCCAACCCCATCCAGGCCCTTGGAATATGACTCTGTACCTTCTCCCATCAAGAGATGGGGGTTTGTTTCTCCACTCCTAGAAACTGGGCTGGCCTTGAGACTCACATTGGCCAAGGGTGGGGGAAGTGATGACATTCCTCAGGGTCCACTCTCTCTCCTGGATCCCTGCCTCAGCCATGAGAAAAGGCCAGGGCTGTCCTTCTGGAGGCTGAGTGGCCCTGCGGAGCACAGCAGAGCAGCCAGCCCCCAGCCAACCCTTGAGTTTACTACACACACCCTCATGAGCCCCTCCCAGATGAGCCCAGCCCAACCCAAGCAATGGAACGCCAGTATCCTTGTGAGCAAAAAAAAGTGTTTAGTGTTTTATGCCACTGGATTTATGCAGCATTATTGTGGCAACAAACAACTGAAACAACTGGCTGTGTTGTTCTTTCACACATTCTGTGGTTAAATATAACACAGATGCAGAAAGCTGCATAAAACTTAGATAATGTAATGACATATTGTAAGGCAAATATCCCTGTAACCACCACCTGTATCAGACGACAGAAGTTTCCCCTTATCCCTCTGCACACCCCCTGCCAAACACAATTCTCAAGGTCGCTCTACCACAAGAAACCATTATGCTAAACTTTTACAGTAACCACTTCATTGCATGCTTTCTAGTTTTTTCACGCAAATGTGTATGCCTAACACTATAGTTTCTGTTTCTGTTAATACATCTTTTACACCTCTTTTCCTCTATAGGTTGCCCCTTTATTCTTTTCCTCCCTTGCTAATTATTTCTTAAAACAACAACTTTATTGAGGTGTAATTTAAAGGCCATAAAATGTTTTAATGCACAGCTCAAAGATTTTTAGTAAATTTAGGAAGTTATTCACCATCACCACAGTCGTTCTAGAGTATTTCCACCCCCCAATAAAATCCCTCCTGCCATTTACAGTCACTCTCCATTCCCACCCCCAGACCCAGACAACCACTAATCCACTTTCTATCTCTATAGATTTGCCTCTTCTGGACATTTCACATAAATGGGATCAATGTGACTGACACCTTTCACTTAACATATGGTTTTCAAGGCTCATCCATGTCTTAGCATGTGACAGTACATCATCCTTTTTTATGGTTGGGTAATATTCCATTGTGTAGATAGACCATATTATTTTGTTTATCCATTCACTAGGTGACAGACATTTGGGTTGTTTCCATATTTTGCTGGAAATACCATAAGTGGAATTCCATATAGTCCATTTTAAAGACACAGATGAAGCACCCTGTACATTCTTTTGCATCTTGTTTTTTCAGATTAGCACAAATGCATCTGCCTCAAAATTTTAACAACTGTATAACAGTCTATTTATAAATGGCCCATAATTAATGTAACCAGTCCCCTCTCATCAGACATTTAGGCTGCTTACAGCCTTTTGCTATTATAAACAACACTGCAATACAGATCCTTTTGTGCACAAGTGAAAATATATGTATAAGGTAAAGTCCTAAAAATGTTAACTTCTGGATTTAAGGAAATGTGTATTTCTCATTTTAGAAATTCTATTAAATTACCCATGAAATGTTTTGTGTAATACCTTATAAACATCATCAGGGTGTTGCAGGCAGCCAACATAGTTTGCCTTTTGTATTTTTAGAAACAAATATGAATAGCACGCCCACAAAATTCCTACAAGCTCTTTAGCATGAAGGCGTCATACAGGATGACTCCATCCCAGCTCCCACACTGACTTGCTTTTTGTTAAAGTTCCTTCACTCTCTGAGCCTCAGCTTCCTCCTCTGTAAAACGGGTCCTTTCTGCTCTCACTGACTGCTCTGCTGGTTTGCCTGCCAGGTGAAGCACTCATGTCCGTCAACAACCTCCGAGTGTTGGTAGAGGGAGGAGCACCCCTTCGTCCATGTATTCCATGTGATTTGAACGCGCTAACCCTACTTCTGGCCACGCACTAGACAAGTGACCTAGTCCGGCCAATCAAAATAAGCCTTACTGCTGGCCGCTAGTTCAGGCAAAGCCACGTGACAAGCCAGGACCAACGAAAGCCGCTAACATACGAAGTCATCCTAGAGACAGCTGCAAGCGTTGAGCCCTGAACCCTGTCCTGCTGAATCTACACCTAGCACAGGATTTTTCTTTATTATGAACAAATAAGTTCTTTCTTATATAAACCACTTTGAGTTGTTTCTGACCCCTACAACATAGTCCTGTTATTCTTCAAAGGAGACAAAAATCTGTTCCTGCAGCCCCAACACGGAATACAAAGCACTCAGCCGATGATTCGACACTGATCAAAGTAACAGCCTTTATAGATGTCTCTGGAGCGACGGGGAGAGAAGAAAAATAGGATATAAATAAGTACTATGTACAGCTTCCAAGGGTAAAATTCTCCCAGCCACTCCGCAGAGATTGGGCACCACCAAGTAAATATCCAGGTTGTCTCAAAGCACTGGTGGAGGAGGGACAGGTCAGGCCTGAAAAGGAAATGAGTAGGAGGCATTAGAAAGGGCTGCCCGCTGCCTCGTCTCCCTCTCCCCAGGGCCTGGAAATCAGTGAACCTCTGACTGAGGCTCCCCACTGGGCCCTCCTGAGGCCTATAGGTCTTCCAAAGACAAAGTGGCAAACAACTTAAAACGACAGCAAGAGAGATGCAAGATAGAATTAAGCTAAATCAGAACTGGCAAGTGGGCTTGAGGACCTTCCAGAGACTCTACCCTCCACATATTACAGGTAAAGTAAAAGAGGGGCACAAAAAAGCAGGGGCTGCGTGGGCGCAGCGTGCCCGAAGTGTGCAGTGAGTGGAGGGGGATGGCTACCTCCCGAGCATAGATGGAAGGAGCAGGTATGACGTAAATCGCACAGGAGTCTCCATCCTCAGCGTGATTCCAATCTGCTGACGGGCTGCGGAAGGGAAAGAATAAGATCCAGATCCTTTAAATTCTCAAATCTTGTTTCCTCCACCTACCATGGAAGGGAACCCAGAGCAACTAGGGGAACTGTGGAATGACCCAACCAAAAAAGGGCTGGAGCAGGACTGGAGACTGATGCAAGCAACCAGGTAAGCAACGGCATCTGCAGCCCAGCCCCTCACCTCGGGCCATCCCCGGGGCCCTCCTGAGTCCTCATGTTGTTGAGCGCATCAGGGAGTGCGTGGATGGATGGCTCCGGGGTCGCTGCCAGCAAGCGAGACCCAGTATCCCGGCCAGGGCCACGGCGTCGCACATGCACCAGCAGCAGTGCAGCGCCGGCCAAGCCCGCGGCCACCAGCAGTCCCAAAGCCGGCGGCAAAAGGAAGCGCTGCGGGTCCCCACGCTTGACACCCAGCGGAGCCGCGGGCAAGGTGTCTGCGCCCTCGTCCGCGCCGTCTGGGTGAACTGGGAACTCGCAGCGCGCGCCCATGTACCCGGGCGCGCAGGCGCAGACGAGGCCGGAGAAGTGAGCGTAGCAGCGGCCACCGTGGGCACAGGGGCGCGCAGCGCACGGGTCGGCGCGCTCGCGGCAGTCGCGGCCGCCAAAGCCCAGCGCGCAGGAGCAGCGGCGCGCGCCACCGCCCTCCAGGCACGTGCCGCCGTTGGCGCAGGCGCGGCCGGCGCAGTCCTCCAGGTCATGCTCGCAGCGCGGCCCCGCGAAGCCCGCGCGGCAGCGGCAGCGAAGGGCGTGGCCCAGGTCCAGGCAGAGCCCGCCTGTGGAAAGGGGGCGTCAAGGGCGCGGCCGCGGGGAGGGGCCCCAAGCGGGCCCGCACTTCTGTCGTTCAGCTTAATCCCCGCCCTTCCTTTCCCCTACGTCCCGTCTCCATCTAGCTCGAGGGCCAACCTCTGGGGTTTGTCTGGACAGCCGGCTGCTTTTTTTTCTGCTGCTGAAGTCTTGAATTAGTTGAGGCTCACCTCTTTGGTTCAGTCTCTTTTTCTCTCTTCAAGTATATTAACAGAACGTGTTTGAACCACCTGGCCTCTGCCCCTTCCCTTTACCCTTCCTCCTTTTCTCCCACTGGTTTTACCATTTTTCTTCCCGAGCTCACCCTTCAGGTCTCTGCTCAAATGTCCCCTCCTCCAGGAAGTCCTCACTGACTCTTTCTCCATCCTCACCCTGCATTTTTCCCTCACAACCCTGACCACTGTGGGCTCTGAGGACGACTCCGTCTTCTCTGGTTTGGCACTCCCATGAGGGCAGGGCCCAGAGCTGTCCTAGTAACTGTGTCCCTAGTACCACTCAGCCCGGATTGAGCACTTAGTGAGTGTTTTGGAGAGAATTAATATTATAATAAGAATGCACCGAGTCCTTTACATTTGTGATATCTTAACAGCTCACGTCTCTCCACTGCTCAGAACCCTCCTGTGGCTCCATCTCAGGGTAAAACCAAAACTCTGCCATGGCCCATGAAGTCCCACAGGTTCTGCCCTGGTCACCTCCCTGAACACATTGCTCATCACTCACCCCACACTTACACTCACTCTGTCTCACTCACACTGGCTTCCCTGTGATCCTCAATACACCAGGGACATTCTACCTCAGGGCCTTTGTACTCGCTGTTCCCTCTGCCTATAACATAATCTTCTCCAGATCCCCACATGGCTCCTCCTTGCCTTCAGCAAGGTCTTCTCTAACCACTAGGGCTAAAATGTCAACCTGCCATTCCATATACACTCCCCATCCCCGTTCTGGCTTTATTTTTTTTCTTAGTTTTTATCACCATCTAACTTCCCATATAATTTACTTGTTTACCTTGTTTATTGTCTGTCTGCCCCATTAGTTTTATGAAGGCAGGGGTTTTTGTTTCATCCCCTGCTGTATCCCCAGAGCCTAGAACAGAGCCTGGCACACAGTGGGTGCTTAAAAAAATATTTATGGGATAGGAATCCCACCTCACCCATTTTACAGAAGAAAAACAGGCTGGGCAGAGGGGAAAGATCACTTCCCTAGACCACAGGCTAGAGGAAGCACAGCCAGGATTCTCACCTGGGGCTGCCTGAGCCAAGCCCTGCTCTTGCCCACTGACCATGCAGGGATCTCCCCGCCCCCACCCCCTATCCCTCACGGTCTGTCTTCCCCACCTCACCATTCCGGCATGGCTGCAGGCTGCACCGGTCCACCCTCTTCTCACAATTGGAGCCTTGGAAACCAGGTGGGCAGTGGCAGATGTAGACAGAGTCGGGGTCTGCACCTCCCACACACAAGCCACCGTTGAAGCAAGGTCCATCCGCACATGTGACCCCGCTCACTTCACACCGCAACCCATAGAATCCACGGGGACAGGCACATTCAAAGGACCCTGGTGTTTCCTGGGCAGGAGCAAGAGGGCTTCAGACTGGGGTCTCCTTGGAGCAAACTCCCATCCCCCTCCTCAGTCTTGAGCATGGGGGACTGCCCCTTGTCCAGCCCCTTACCTGGGAGGTCATCCACAGACAGCCCCTAAGTCAGCTCCCTGTTTCTGGGTCTGCCCATCCATCCCCCCATGGGGAGGCTGTGGAGGCCCAGACAGATCCCATTCCCACGGCTACACCTTTGCCTACCAAATGCTGTTCCTGGTCAGCCCTCCCTGATTCTGTCCATACAGCCAAGTCCTACTTCAAGGTCCTAGCACTGAGCCATCTCCTCTGAGGAGCCTTCTCTGGATCTCCCCTTCTCAGGCCCTCCTCCTAACTTGACCCCCGAGTACTTCCCACTGTCCCATGCTGTCAGTGTCCAGGTGACCCACACTGGGCTCATTCCCACCACATCTTTGCTTACCCCAGGCCACGTACCTGGTCTACCCTCTCCAATTACCTTCCCTCCACCAAACTGGACTTCAGAAGCCCCAGTGCTGGGCCCATGGCCAGGAAACCTTCTCTGATGCCCCATCCCAAATCTTCCCAATCTCCAACCCACCTGGCCCCACCACCCCCTACCTTGAGCCCTGAGTTGTCCTCTATCCCAGTGGGGAGCAGCTTATAGCCCCCGAGGACTCACCATGCCCACATCCACACCTTCAGGTGCCACCCAACGGGTCTGCCCTCGTCATTCCCATTCCCATCACCTAATCCCAAATGCTGGCTGGACCCCACCTCCAGGAAGCCCACTCTGACAGCTCCCCACAGCCCTCCCCAAGTTGTTGGCTTGCAGCACCTCAGGCAGGGGTCAGTGGGACCCCCCAGGGTAAAGTACTGATCAGGGTGAGGTGGAAGGCAGTTTTACTGACACTGCAGCTGCCCCCGTTGGCGCATGGGTTCCCATCACAGGGCCCCGGACCAGGTACAACACATCCAGTGGTGGCAGAAGATGGGCCCCTGGGGCTGAGGCAGCTGCTGGCTGAGACAGGGATGGTGCAGAGGGGCCCAGTCCAGCCTTCCAGGCATTGACATTCATCTGGCTGCTCACAAAAGCCGTGCTCTGGGCTGCAGCCTGCTCGACATGCCTCTGTGGGGAAAGAAGAGTCAGAGGGAAGAGGAATATTGATAAGAACAGTCGGGAGAATAGGAATCAGAGAAGTTTCTTGAGCATTTTCTGTGTACCACCTTGTTTCATACTTGTGAGACAACCATCTGGGCTAGGTGATGTTGTAACACCCAGTTTACAGACACGGAAACTGAGACCTGGAGAGATGGGATGACTCAACCATCTACGAAGTGGCAAAGCAAGGATTTGAACCCAGGCCACTGGGCTCCAGAATCTGTGCTCTTGAAAGGAGAATGGAGTGAAGGCTCCAGATCTGAGCTTGGAGAGAGAAGGAGGGAAGGGGATTGGGGGTTCCGAGGGACCTCTGACCTTTCACGGAAAATGGGAGGGTCTTGGATCAGGGCAGGTCTGGGAGAATCTGGATGAGCCTGGGAGTTCTACAGGCTTCAGGTGGCTCAGAAATTTGGGAGGGGTCTGAGGGTGCCCGGGATGGAGGTCAGGGATCCCAAGCTTTAGAAAGCAGTGGGGTCTGGCCTGCAATTACAGGCGGGGAGGATGAAGGATCCCTTGGTGAGGCAATAGGGGAGAGCTTCGAGGAATTCCCAATGCTCCTGGGTGGGGTTGGGGAGAGGTCCTGAATTAGAAGAGTTCTTAGCATCTGAAAGGTGTGGGTATGGGCCAGAGGAGGAACAGGAGTGTACTAGCCTGGGAAACGGGCGTGGGGTTCCTATTTGGGACAAGAGTGCTGGGAAGAGCAATGGGAGCTGGAGTGCCTAAGCAGTGCTAGAGAGAAGTCTAGAGTCCTCAGTTTTCCAGAGAGTGGTAGTTGGATGGAGGCAGGGCGCTAAGGACTGTGAGCAGAGCTGCAGCCGGGTCTGGGGTGCGCGGGCGGTGGTCCGCGGCATTCCTAGATTCCTGGAAAGGGTTGTCTGGGTACCTGGAAAGGCCTCTCGGGTCCTCAGATCCTTGAAGAGGGTAATTGGACTGTGAAAGGGGCGCCGGAGACCCGTGAGCGGGGCTAAGGTAAGGCTGGGGAGGGAATGAGTTTGAACTCCGGACTCACCTGGAGTCTCGCACTCGTCCTCCAGCAGCCCGCAGGGGCGCAGTTCCGGGCTGCACCGCGAGGGCGCGCTGTGCGAGCGGCAGACGCTCACGCACGTCGTCCCAGCGGAGGGCGGCTCGCAGCGCGCGCGGTACGAAAAGCGCAGCTCCCAGGTGCCTGCGCGCTGCACGTCCCGGGCCCACGGGCCCCCGGCCGCTAGGCGACGCCGGCCGGCCACGCGCGCCAGCAGGCTCCAGGAGGGCCCTGCGGGGAGAAGGGAGCGGCGCTGGAGTGGGCCCGGCCGCACCGACGGGACTCAGTCAACAATAGAGGGGAGCGCGTGGGCTTTCACTCTCCCCCTCCACCACCAAGTTAGCGAGGCCACAATACCCCTTGCCGAGCCCTAAGAATGACAGTTACCCCTTTAGCAGGGCGGTAGCCTCCCCTAATGGTTCTGGGACCTTCGATGTCACGATGCCATCTAGTGCCCTATGACCGTCATGATAACAGTTCTCCCATATAAGCAGAAATACCCCATTTTGCCTCAGAACCTATGTATACCAAAGCAGTGATGAGCCGTCTGACATCCTGTGACATCTGATATCTCTCTATGGCCAAGGAGCAATAACAGCTTTTTGAAGTAAGGTCATAACACCCCCAAATTGTGCCTCAGGATCCTCCTATATCAAAATGGTGGCAAGAGATCCCAATTACTAGACCATAAATTAACCTTATTGCCTGAGGCCTTGGGCTACTGGAGGAGTGGCAGTTTCCCCCCAGCAAGGCTTACAAGCCAACATTGTACCACAGGAGCTTCCTCTATCAAAATGGTGACAGAACCCCCACTGTGACAGAACACACACACATGCACACACACACGGCACCAAAGTCCCCTAAGAACCAGAAGTAACTCATATTACACCCTGGGTCCTCAGCATCAGATGGTGACAGAGCAGGACTCTGAGATACTCTGTCATACTCCAGGGCCTTCAATTTCACCATAGGAAGACAGCCACCAACACCCAGCATCACTCTCCTGCAGCTGTGAGGATAGCATGGGTCCAGCAATCCTGTGAACAGTCTACCCCGCCAGGACCTTACGTTGAGTCCCCAAAGCCTGGCACACCCACACTCTGCACTGTAGTCCCAGGACTGAAGACTCACCTCCAATCTCCTCTCCAAACTCTTCTCTCCAGGTTTCAATGATGAGAGAGAAAGTGCCCTGGTTGGGGGGAGGAGGGGGGAAGGGAAAACATGGAAGACAGTGGTCAAGGTGGCTACTCGATGAAGGCCAGAGCTTAAGGGCGCTGATCAATTTGGGGACCAGGCAGGTGAAGGAGACAGTTCTAAGAGGGACTGGCCCATCAAAGGAATGCCAGGTTTAGCTTTCTCTGTTGGGCACTTACTATGCGGTAAGTACCATACTGAAGATACCTGGGTAAATCCCTCAAAAGGGACCCTTGTGAGGCACCGTGATGATCCCATTTTTTAGATAAGGAAACTAAGGCTGGAAAAGGGAAAGTCACTTGCCCAAAAGGCCAAGGATCTAGAATTCAATTCCAGGTCTGCTCACCTCTGTGCTTTGGGGTTGTGGTTTGGGAGACAGGATTTTGGAGGTAAAAGAGTCATGAATATGGGCTCCAGATGGAAAATCTGAGAAGGAACAGGTGAGAGGAGATTGGGGGTCCCCAAGACATGGTGTGGGAGGGTCCCTAGGTGAAAGGAAATTTGGGGATAATTTTTAATATCCCAGTGTTTAGGGATTCTCAAGAAATAGAGGCAGGGTTCTGTGAATTTATGACTTCCAGAGGGTGAGTTGGGGGTCCAGGGAATTTGGAGTCCCAACTATGCAGGGCTGGAATCAGAATATTTGGGATCCCCAGAGGGCAAGTTGGAGTAGAAAATTTGGAGTCCCCCGTGGATAGGGTTTATGGGTCTGATTGTGAGATTCTTGATGATAGAGTTACTAGTCTGGGAATTTAAGGTCCCCAGGGAGCAAGGTTGGGTTATTGGAAGTTGGAGGGGAGAAGGCAGTCGAGGTTTGAGTAAGGCCGTTCCACAGGGGTGCCCAAGGGCCGGGACTCACAGGCCAGGCGTCTCGGAAGGGCACGCGCAGGGGGCCATCGGGCAGCGGCAGGTCAGGCGCTGGCGCCTCCGGCTGCTGGGTGTAGACGAGCCCGCGCGCACTCAGCGCCGCGCCCAGGGCGCACGGAGATTCGGCGGCCCCCTCGGAGACCCCTGGCTTCAGGCAGACCCTAAAGAAGAGGCGGCAGGGACCCTGGGCACTGCAGGGGGACCGCGGAGCCCCTGGGCCCGGTCCTGCCCCGAAAGAGTGGATCTGCAACTCGAAGACGCCCGCCGGCCGTGCCTGGGTCGGAAAGAGGCACAGGGTGAGGGGACGCGGAAAGAGGCACAGGCGTCCTCCCCAGGACTCCCGCCTCGCACCCACTCCCACTGTCATTAAACCCTTTCCACTCCTGCTGTGACCTGAGGAAGGAAAATAAGCGCCAGGATCATCGTCCGGGACAGGAGCTGAGGCATCCGCGAGCCGACCATGGCCTTTTGGGGGGTCTTGAGAGCCGCAGCTGCTGGCTCCGGAGCCTTTTATCTGAGAGGACGACTCCGCCCCTTCAGGCAGCCACCCGGCTCCAGGAGACCCTAGGGGAGGAGGTCGCAGGGGAAGGGGAGCGTGCGGGAGCAACCTGGAGATTGTGTCGTGGGCACAGGCAGTGTAGAGAGTGTATGACCTTGTGTGTGTGGTTGTGCGCGCGATTTTGTGTGTGGGGTGGGGTAAGGGGTTTTAAGCCTGGATGTGAACTTGTATATGATTTTAAGATTCTGTGAGTGTATGTGTGTTACGAGCAAGAGCTACAGGAGGAATACATATACATTAACTTTGTGGTTTTGTGTCGAGGTGAGATTGTGTGGATTGCGTGTGCCTGAAATTGTATATGGTTAAGCCTGTTTGTTAGGTTGTAAGTAATTCTAAGATTGTGTGTGTGTGCGTGTGTGTGTACACGCGCGGACCTGCATGGGAGAATGGAAATGTACATGACTTGGCGATCATGTGACTTTTTGAGATTATGTGGCTGTATGTTTCTCTATGTATGAGTATGTATGTATGTGAGATCCTGAACCACTGTGCGTGGTCGTATGAACCTGTGCTTTTGTGGTCTGTGCAGGTGCCTCTAGGTGGCTGGGTGTATGGTAGGATTTCTGTAAGGTTGTGAAAAACTGAGAGTCCGTGTGTGGAGGAGACTGGATGTGGGAGGTCCACGGAGGCAGTAATGTGTGAATATAATGGTCAGGGGTTCTTTGTAGACGTGTGTGTGTGTACACGCGCGCGCGCGCTCGTGCTCCTGAGTGTTCCCCTCCCCAAGACAAAGCCACCCTCCCAAACCCCGCATCACGGGTGCACCAGACGCCAGGGCGAGGAACCCCCCCTCCCCGCCTCAGAGAGGCTCCCAGCTGTATGTAAATACCGCCATCTGCCGGGCGGCCGCGCCCCTCCCCCCTTGGGCCGCAGCTGGGCTGTCCGTTTGGCCTCCGGAAGGTGTGAAGAGCAAATGGGCAGGAAATTCGTCTTCACATATCAGGGCCCTGTCCCTCATTCCAGGATGAATGAGCGGGGGCACCCCGGGCCCTCCAGAAGCCCCTTAGTATTCCAGGACCATGGCAAGGAAAGCCAGTTAGGAGCAGATGCTCCAGCCCTCTGGCAATAATTTACCCTGTGCCAGGTGCTCAGCAAAACCCTTTAAATGGAGTAAACTTTTTCTCCCCAGAATAAAAAACTTTAATATTTAGAGGTTAATAATTATACGAGAAAACACAGGTTCAATTTATATTTGTTATTTTTCTTTTAGGGAAGAGAAGAGTGATCAACAAAGCACAGCCCAGCAGAGCCAGGCATACAGTAGGTGCTTGGTAATTTTTAATAAATGAAAGAATTCAATCTAACGAGTGTTGTTACTCCTGAGGACTGGAGTCATGGGAGGGTTTTGATCAGGGGAGGGCCATGGTCAAATTGTGCAGACATCCCAGGTTCCTTTGCACAGCTTTCCCTCTACTTGTATTTTTTTCTACTCTCTCTATGTAAGTCCGTTCTCGCCATTCAGACTTCCGCTCCTGTAGGCGGCCTTCCCTCCCAAGGGGCTCAGGCATCTCCTCTGAGTTCCCGCTACCCCCTGCAAGTCCTCTCTCCCACATCTGACCTCTCTGGCCTATCAGGTCTTTCTAAGCACAAATCTATGTCCCTCTCTTGCATAGACTCTTCCATTACTCCCTAGTGCCTTCAAGATATACTCTGGGATCCTAAGGCTGACATGTGAGGCCCTCTCTCTGTATCCCTTCTACTCAAACAGGTTCTGTAGCCCCAAAGCATAGACCAAGACCTAGTGGACCACTGGGAGGCAAACTGTACTGAGGTAGGGGAAGGAGTGAACTTCCCATCCTAGGAGACATTCAAATGGAATTTGGACAGCCACCAGAACCAGCTGTGAGAACACAAATTCCTACCCCGCATAACTTGGGAGGGTAATGGAATTCCAGGTATGAGATAATCGCAAAGATTTTTAAGGATTGCGAAGACAGCCAGACTTTATTGAGGGTGTGGGCGATCCATTAGAGTGTTTCATGTGAATTCTCTCATGTCTCCATGTAAAGAATACTTTGACTTCCAAGCATCTTTATGGCCATTCAGACTTTTCCTTATGTGCCAACCTTAAAGGCCACAGAAGGCCATGCTGAGGTGGCATCTAAGCAAAGACCTAACAGAGGGGAAGGAGTAAGCCACGAGTCCTGGGAAAAAAACATCCCTGGCAGGGAGACTAGCAAGTGCAAAGGCCCTAAGGTAACCATATCCCCATGGTTTTCATCTCGTTTTGGTCCTGGCTCAAATACACCCTCAAGAGGCCTTTCCTGACAGTTGCATCCAGTCTAAAACAGCATCCCAAGACCCCAAACCATTCCACCTTCTTACCATACTTTTTCTTTATCCATTTATTACCCTGAGAAGTATCTGACCATTTTTCCTCTTCCATGAGGGCAGAACTTTTTATCTAATTGTTCATTGAAGCACTCTAGTGCCTAGACAAGGCGGGTTGTCGGTACATTAGGGAGTATTTGTTAAGTGAATGAATACTATTATTAACCTTTTATCAATGAGGAAACAAATGGTGGGGACTTTGCCCAGGGTCGCAGGGCTTGCCAGTGGTGTACAATGTATGACCTGGGAATTCAGACTCCGGGAACTGCCTTCACGCTGTCCCAGTCCTGCCCACTGGATGCCATGGTGCAGCCTTCATGCCCTGAGCATTTCTGCAGAACACACTAGGTCATGGGTGTCTCAGAAGCCACCTGTGAGCAAGCCAAACCCTCCCCTCCCTGCTTGGCCTCCAGCTTTGAGCAGGTATAGCCTGACACACAGTACCACTGAGGTGGGAGAGATGCCCGGGGGAGCCCACTGGGCACTGAAGCCTGTGCACCCAGCACCAGAGCCTAGTCCCCAGGAGCCACTCTTGACCATCGGGACAAGGCCAACAGACATATTTGCTCTTTTTATGCCTGTGGGTGGACAGATCTGAGTCTCATTTCAAAACAGTCCTCAGAAGGTCTGGGGAACTAAGTGTGTCACCTACTGTGATGGGCAGTTGTGGCTCTCCCTCCATCCTAGGATCATATTCCCCAAACACAAAAGCCTGTCTCCACCTTTGCTTTTGGCTAAGATGATTTCGAATTCTCAAAGCTATAAGCGCAGAAAATATGGGCCTTTCCCTCAGTCCTGTGGATGTCCTCAAGCTAGGGACATCAGGAAATTCTCCTGAATCATAGTACATCTCAGGGTCGGGTGTGAATTTTAATTCTAATTTTGTGAGCCTTTTAATACAAAATCTAGAATTCAGAGGTTCAATCTGGCCCACACTGTTTCAAATACATTTTATTATAACAAACACCGGAGAAGGTGTCTTATTAAACTGGCACTAGTACTAAATGCTAGTTGGAGCACCAGGCTGGGACAGCCAGGGGTAGGGCAGCAGCAGGGCTATCAAACTCATATAGGCCGTTTTATTTAGAGAATAACCAGTATGACCTGATAACAAGCCCCATGTGAATATGTACAGCACCTGAGTAGGAACTGTCCCATTTATTCCTCACAACTGCTCTAAGATAGGTATTACCATCACCCCCATTTTAGAGATGAGGAAACTGAGGCAGAAAAGTGCTTTGTCTGAGGTTCACACAGTTACCATCAGAGTGCCTACATGGAGAGCCTCACTCGGCCCTCAAACCTAGCCTGTGGTAGGCACTGCTATGGGGAAACTCAGGCACTAAGGGGTGAACTTGTCCAAGATCACACAAGCTTAGAAGCAGTGGAAGTTGGATTTGAATTTGAACAGTCTGGAACTCATACACTTATTAAATACACAACTGTACTGTCCAGGGCAGGAGCCAGGAGCCAGACGTGGCTATTTAAACTAAAATTTAACAAAATTGGAAATTCCGCTCTTCAGTTACTAACCCAGTCTCATTTCAAGTACTCACTAGCTCCCCGTGGCACTGGCTGCTGTATCAGCACATTTAGAACGTGGAATAAACATCACAGGAAGTCCTGCTGTCAAGTGCTGCTACATAGCCTATTTTTGTTATGAGCCAACATTTAAAAATAGGGAGATGAAGGGGTTGGGAAAAAAAAAGGGCGATATAATATAAATTTCCCAATTTCTGGCTTCTGTTGAAAATTCAGATCAAGCAACCCTAGAGCCGCAGCTGGCAGAGCTGAGCAGCAACCTGCACAGGACAGGGTGACCTCCAGGCCGCTAGGATCCTCCAGCTAAGCCAAGCCACCAGTCCACGTGCCAGCCTGGCGCTACCTGTTTTTAAAACCCCCAGCACAGTCTTCTCTTCTTTTCCAAGATGGGGAATCTCAGGCCAAAGTGGGAGGTACACTTTTTGCAGATCACACAGAACGCACAAGGACACCGCCACAGGGACCCAGGTTTTCAGATTCCTAGGCCGGGGTTGAAAACCAGCCCTGAGCCACCAAAGCACATATTCTGTGCTGGGCAGCTGGTGAGCTGCTGTGGGGCGATGATCCGCGAGTCCCAGACCGCACCTGGATGCCCCCTTCTGGAGACTCTCTGGACACAGAAGTGTGGCATCTGGGTGGCCTTTATTGGACATGTGGCTGCCCAAGCCATGATCTGGGAGCACAAGAGGCCTGGGGCCTGCGTCCCAGGCACTGAGTTTGAGGAGCCCCAGAGGTCAGGGCTGTTTGGAGCGAGGCCACAAGCGGCTGGTGAGAGAGCTGAAGAAGAGGTTCTGCTTGCTGGACTTGGAGAGCTCGGCCAGGCGCTGCTGCTCCTCCTGGGGTCAGGGACAGGCAGAGGAAGGGAGGTCAACCTGGGGTAGGTGGAGCCTTGTCCCAGACTCCCAGGGCCACAGCCCTCAGCCCAGGAGCCACCTCCATCACACGACTGCCCAGCTCAGACCCCTGTCCTCAACTCCCTGAACATTAGCCCAGACATAGGAGGAGCCTGGACCCCAAGAACCTAGTCCAGACACTGCAGAGAGCCAGCTCTGAACCATAGGAGCCCAGACTCTAGTCCTGGGCACTCTCACGATCCCTTTCCCTGGATCCCAAGGGCCCCTCCCCTGCACCCTGGGAGCCTATCCCAGACCCTACTTATCCCAGCCTGGAAACTGGTGAGACCCCATGCCATTCAAACTACCCTGTCCTGCTCCCAGGGCCCCTAGAATGCAGCCCTGAGCCCTGACCTCGGTCTGGATGCTGGGGACTCCAGGCCCAGATCTCCAGGGACTCCTCGTTTGGGCCCTCAGGAGCTCTAGCCGTATTCCCAGGACTCAACACAGAATCTGCTCTACCTCAGCCTTGACCCCTGGGAATCTTTCTCCAACTCAATCCATATTCTGAGCCCCACTTACAATCACCAGGGGGTCACACCAAAATCATCACACCAAAACTCCTTGCCCAGACCCTTGGGCCAAATGTCCAGGGATCCCTCTTCCCAGACCTGATTCAAACCCACAGTCCCACCCAGACCTGCTCAAGACCAAGGACGACCCCTCCCCAAGCCTTATGTCAAATGCTCCGGCCCTCAGGGCGGACTGCAGAAACAAGGCACCTTCTCAGTACAAGAGCCCTACTGGACAGGGTTCCTCTTTCAGGAGCCCCAGAAACTGATGTGATTTCCTCCAGCCAAGCTAGTGACGCAAGCACACACCTGCTCTAGCCGGCTTTGCCGCTGTTTGAAAGCCTCCAGAGGGTCATCCTCCAGGGCATAGTGCTCCAGCACCGTCCTGACATCTTCCACACCATTCAGAGCGATAGCTGTGGGCACAGCAGGTGGGGGGTCAGCCGGGCTAAAGGCCAGAGCAGGGGCAGGGATGGCAAGGGCAAAGGTCAGACACTGGGAAGTCAAAACTACCTGCAAAGGACAGGGTGACCTCCAGGCCGCTAGGATCCTCCAGCTAAGCCAAGCCACCAGTCCACGTGCCAGCCTGGCGCTACCTGTTTTTAAAACCCCCAGCACAGTCTTCTCTTCTTTTCCAAGATGGGGAATCTCAGGCCAAAGTGGGAGGTACACTTTTTGCAGATCACACAGAACGCACAAGGACACTGCCACAGGGACCCAGGTTTTCAGATTCCTAGGCCGGGGTTGAAAACCAGCCCTGAGCCACCAAAGCACATATTCTGTGCTGGGCAGCTGGTGAGCTGCTGTGGGGCGATGATCCGCGAGTCCCAGACCGCACCTGGATGCCCCCTTCTGGAGACTCTCTGGACACAGAAGTGTGGCATCTGGGTGGCCTTTATTGGACATGTGGCTGCCCAAGCCATGATCTGGGAGCACAAGAGGCCTGGGGCCTGCGTCCCAGGCACTGAGTTTGAGGAGCCCCAGAGGTCAGGGCTGTTTGGAGCGAGGCCACAAGCGGCTGGTGAGAGAGCTGAAGAAGAGGTTCTGCTTGCTGGACTTGGAGAGCTCGGCCAGGCGCTGCTGCTCCTCCTGGGGTCAGGGACAGGCAGAGGAAGGGAGGTCAACCTGGGGTAGGTGGAGCCTTGTCCCAGACTCCCAGGGCCACAGCCCTCAGCCCAGGAGCCACCTCCATCACACGACTGCCCAGCTCAGACCCCTGTCCTCAACTCCCTGAACATTAGCCCAGACATAGGAGGAGCCTGGACCCCAAGAACCTAGTCCAGACACTGCAGAGAGCCAGCTCTGAACCATAGGAGCCCAGACTCTAGTCCTGGGCACTCTCACGATCCCTTTCCCTGGATCCCAAGGGCCCCTCCCCTGCACCCTGGGAGCCTATCCCAGACCCTACTTATCCCAGCCTGGAAACTGGTGAGACCCCATGCCATTCAAACTACCCTGTCCTGCTCCCAGGGCCCCTAGAATGCAGCCCTGAGCCCTGACCTCGGTCTGGATGCTGGGGACTCCAGGCCCAGATCTCCAGGGACTCCTCGTTTGGGCCCTCAGGAGCTCTAGCCGTATTCCCAGGACTCAACACAGAATCTGCTCTACCTCAGCCTTGACCCCTGGGAATCTTTCTCCAACTCAATCCATATTCTGAGCCCCACTTACAATCACCAGGGGGTCACACCAAAATCATCACACCAAAACTCCTTGCCCAGACCCTTGGGCCAAATGTCCAGGGATCCCTCTTCCCAGACCTGATTCAAACCCACAGTCCCACCCAGACCTGCTCAAGACCAAGGACGACCCCTCCCCAAGCCTTATGTCAAATGCTCCGGCCCTCAGGGCGGACTGCAGAAACAAGGCACCTTCTCAGTACAAGAGCCCTACTGGACAGGGTTCCTCTTTCAGGAGCCCCAGAAACTGATGTGATTTCCTCCAGCCAAGCTAGTGACGCAAGCACACACCTGCTCTAGCCGGCTTTGCCGCTGTTTGAAAGCCTCCAGAGGGTCATCCTCCAGGGCATAGTGCTCCAGCACCGTCCTGACATCTTCCACACCATTCAGAGCGATAGCTGTGGGCACAGCAGGTGGGGGGTCAGCCGGGCTAAAGGCCAGAGCAGGGGCAGGGATGGCAAGGGCAAAGGTCAGACACTGGGAAGTCAAAACTACCTGCAACACTTTTCAATACTCTATAAGGTCTCCCCTTAACATTCCTAAGTATCCCCCCCTAAATATCCCAGAGGAGCACCTTAAACACTTGAGGAAGCTTCTAAAGACTGCAAGGTGCTTGTGGACGTCCTGCATTTCAAGTACCCAGTTTTATATTGTGGGGGGGGGGCCAGAATAGAGTATCTATCATTCCTCTTGAGGGTCAAGGGTTCCAGGTCAGAGATCAGTCTCACTCTTGAGGAAGGCAGACAGATCCAGCAAGACGCGGTCATCAGAGTTGCCATCCCAGGGTCGCAGTGCAACTCCATTGTAGGGCTGTAGGCGGAACGCTTCCTTCTTGCAATCCACAACGACTACTCGGGCCAGGTCCCGATTCAGACACGAAATGTCCTGGAAATGAGTGCTAGGTCAGGGCAGGGGCAGAGGCAGGGTAAGGCCCGTGCCCCTGCCCTTCCTGTCAGAGAGGGAGACAGATAGACAGACAGACAGACAGACAGACAGACGGACTGACAGACACCTGAACAGCATTGCACACTGGGATCACCATGACAGGGCCTCCCAAAGACCAGGCTGGGGTGATGGCATAAACCCTCAAGGGAGCTGGGGAGCCAGACACACAGATTCCTAGACTCAGAGCATGGCAACACAGACAGGTTCATTTGGAGTTTCCCTGGGGAGGGGGCCAGCACATTTGTGTTTAACAACTGCCTTATCTAATTGTGACATGTTGCAAGTTTGCAAACTTCCGCTCAAAAGTAAAGATGTACAGACAGATCTACAGCAACCCACAGGAGTCAAAGACACAGAACCCTCAAGACCCCCAATCACAGCCCATGTCCTCCTGAACCCTAAAAACTTTGTAGATCCCACACTCACCAAGACACAGTACAAAACCTAACAGACACCTAGACACATGGATACTTGGACCCAGACTCACAGAGACCCATTCACATGTAGGCCCCCTGCTGGTGGCAGCGGCAGACCTCAGGTCAAACAAACCCCAAAGAGTCTCAGATTAACTACTCCTATCATAGGTCCCAAAGACAGTCAGTTCCAGACACACAGAGACAAGAAACAGCTTCCAAGTCCCATGTCCTACCCCTTACCACACTGTTTTCTTTGGGGAGACCCCATTTTACCCCACTCTTACTCCCAGCTTTTGGGGAAGGGAGAAGGGCCTAGAAGCCCAGCCCAGGTTGGAGGCAATCTGGTGTCCTGCAGGACAGGGAAGGATGATACTGGACTGAGGCTAGGTCAGAGCTGGGTCCTTTCTACCCTCAGGAAGTACCAGCCCCTCAAAACCTGGAGGCCCACCCATGGCCCCCACGTGGTACCTTAACATGGTGCCCATCCATGTATCTTGTGGCATCCCGGAATAGGCGGTAGGAGATGAAGCCATGGGGATCCACACTGTCAATGAGTGGAAATGCAGTCTGGGGGATAGGATGGGAAGGAAAACAAGGTGGTCAGGCTGAGCCCCAGACCCCCATATCACCCACATCTCTCGCCACACTGACCCTCCCTTCCCATCCTGGGGCCTCACCATGCCAGTCTCTGATGTAAAGATGACGATTTCATACAAAGGGGCGAGCTGCTGGAATAAGGTCTCAATACCTGGACGCTTCTTAAACCTCCAGCCAGTGGCCAGCTGGGGAGGCAATGAGGACAGTGAAACACCAAACCCAGAGGCCCCAAAGCCCCCAAAAGGTCAAAGATTCAACGTGGGGGATTCCAAGAACTAGAATGTTCTCCCCCTGTCTTTGCAGCTCGTGGGAGGTTTAGGAGTACAGGGTGACTGAGGGTCTGGGAGCCTGAAGGGTCTGTGTCCCAGAATAACAGTTGCCTCCTCTGTGGCACTGCTGTGTTATAAAGCACATTTCAAACAACCTACAGGGTGGGGAGTATCACAGTTGAGGAAAGCTGTGACCCCCAAGGTCACAGTGGAGCTGGGGCTGAACCGTGGCCTGGCTCGAGTCTATGCGCTTAACCACATTGTCATGATCCGGCCACCCAGGTCTACCCAGTGCCACCAACCCGCTGCCTTCCCCAACACACACCGACCACTCAGGGTGCAAGAGGACACCGGTGAGCTCCAAGACCAGAGTGTAGGGCGGCTGGTAGTATGGCTCCCGCAGAGGGTCTGGGAGAAGGCAAGGGCTGGTGGGCTCGATGATCATCTGTGACAGAATGGGAGCACTCAGACAAGGAGGCAGGGGGTTGGGGATGGAGGGAGGGGGACTGGGCCCAGGGTTCCTTCTCACCTGTCTATAATCTTTGAAATACTTGTATGTCCGGCGCAACTGCTGTACCAGAATCGGATCTAGAAGAACACCAGAGCACAAGGGGAGTCCAAGATAAGCTGCTGCTCAGCCTCCCAGACAAACCAGGGCTTTATCTACCAGATATAAACAGAACAACATACCTACCTAGTTTGAACCAGCTCATTTCCAAGCCCAAAGGTAGAAGACAATGATCACCAGGTAGGAAAAAGTTATCTTTATTCACCTGCCCAGTGTTAACTTGAATACTTCTATACACACATCACCCCAGGTATGAAATATTTATACATCTGTCCACTTAAAACCCACACACATAGAATTCTGCTGACATTATGCCAGTACATTTAGTCCATTTTGAACCACTAGGCTCTGAGATCTGCCTGCTTTAAGCCACATGCCAAATCTAGTTAAACCACATTGAATACACGCACATATCTCTATACTTAAACTAGTGGATCTCAATTAGGTGATTTTGTTCCCCCTCTTCCTGGAGAACTGGCAATGCCTGGACACATTTTTGATAATCACAATACTTGGATCTAGTGGGTAGAAGCCCAGGATGCTGCTAAACATACTAAAATAAACAGGACATTCCCTCCTTAACAAAGAATTATCTGGTCCAAACTATGGATGTAGTCAAGGCTGAAAAACCTGGGTTTTAGTGAATATTCTAAATGCAGCTCAAAGTAGGAAACTTAAGACTGTCTACTCCAATACAGTACTTTCGATCCAGTTAACCATTATCTATGGGTCTGTGTTTTTAATACCAAAATACTGAAACCAGTTAAGGTAGTAAACACACAGATTTTAAACCTGCATGTTTGCTTGCCCAACTTAAATCAGGATATTGATTGGTCTGCCCAGTTAAAACATACCTACCCACCTGCCCAGCTTACAATCAATGTATTAACAGCCTGGTTTGCAAACTTCCCCAGCACTAACAGGTGGTTTTCTGGACCTACCCATTTTATTTTTCTACTGGGAAGCACCGGGTGTGACAAAACTGGCAACTACTCTTTACTATCCAATTTTGTCCGACTGAAAGGGGGAGAGGAGGAAGAGGCATTGTTTTGGAAATGAGGAGCCGGATGGGATAGGAGCTTGGGGGGTAAAAAACAGAGGCTGTCATAAACAGGAGGGGTTAGGGGCTGCAGATGCTCAGATCTAAGGCACCGGAAGCCATGTGTCTGATGGGATCCAGCTCCGTTTCCCCAAGCACTCCCACCCCAGGCTCCCCTCCCCCATCTGTTCCTGACCATCTGCTCCTGGGCAGAGGGGCCAGGGAAGAGGACTGGGGCTTTGTAATGCTCCTTCCCCCAAAGCCCTCCAGCTGCTGACTCCCCCACCCCCCAGTCCAAGGAGGAGGGGCCGAGGGGCACTAGATGGGGAGGGTAACATTCTTATCATGGGCAGAGTAGGGAGGGTCTGGGAACCCCAGAATCTGTGTTTGTTTACTCACCACTGTCGAATTCATCAGGAATCTGGGAGGTAGGGAGAAAAATGGAGGGTTTGAGATGGTGGAGGCAGAACACCACCACACTCAGAAGAGGAATCTCTGGGGCCCTGGGAGGAACAGGCAAAGGTCCCTGGAAGGGAGGCTTAGCCCAGGCCAGAAGGGAACCTGAACAGACTAAGGGGAGGGGACCCACAGGACAGGAACTCTGGCAAGGCCTCTGGGTCTTTTTCCCCCTCACCTTGGCACCAGTTTCATCCACAGAGTTGTTTCCTGTAAGGGAGAGAGGAACAAATGAGAAGAATTGGGGCTCAATCTCCTGGGTCTTGAGGGAGGAAAAGGGCAGGGGCCTGGACTTCTGGGTCTGAGGGAAGAGCACTAGACACATGGTCTCCCAAAACTGAGAGCTAAGCAGAGTGGTAGCCAGGATTCCTGGGTCTCTGAGAGTAGAGGGGCTGGGGCCAGGTCTCCTTCCCTCTGGGGGGTAAAGGGACAAGGCAGAGGAATGGAATTGTTGGTGCTAAGGAAAGAGGTAGCTTTGGAGGCTCGTCCAGGTCTATATCCTTCCCCACTTTCTCCTCTTTCAGTTGACTCCCTCGCCTAATGCAGGATCCAATTAGGAAGAGTGGAGTCTTAAGCAGAACGGGTAGAAAGGAGAAGAAAGGGACTTCCCCCATATCCAAGGCAGATGTTCTAGTTGGAAGCCCTACTGAGGAAGAAACTAGAGGACTAAGAAGGTTGAGGCCCTTAGGGAAAAAGGGGAGGTTCTACAGTAAGAGAAGGCAGAACAGAATTGGGGGACAAGGTTATTCCCCTCACCAAAGATATAGACGACACTCACGGTCCCACCGGCCCCGAGCAGCCCAGCAAGCCAGAGCGCAACTTTTTTGGCGTAGCTGGGACCCTCTGTGCCCTGCTGCTGCTGTGGCCCCTGAGCCTGGGCCTGAGCCTTAGTGCCCCCGCGGCTCCCAATCTCTGCGGCCTGTGATTGAGAGGAGGTAGTAGGTTAGCCAAAAGAGAAGGGTCAGGGTGGTTTGGGCATCCTGGTTAGAGAAGAATCAAGGTCGAGAGCCAGGAAGCAGACACCCATATAGCCAGGGACACTGTGTCCTTGGAGGGGCAGCTAGGGACTGAGTCTCTCAGAAAGGTCAAGAATTAGGTCCAGCGCCAGGATCCCAGGGGTTCAGTAGTTGAGAGGTCAGGTGCCCAGGATCCTGGAGGCAAAGGACTGGAGAGCCTGGAGCCGGGAAAAGCAGGGCAGGGAGATGAGATCTGGGAGCCTGGCTGGTCATTAAGATGTTGAGAGGAAGGCAATGGAGGGCACACAAGGGGACAAGACGGGAAATCAAGGCATCTGATGCCTGGGGCTCAAAGTAGCAGCGTATGGAGGAGAACGGATGGGAGCAGGTGCGGAGGGGCGATTGCTTATCCGAGGCTGGGGGAAGTACGGCACGATGTGATGAACCTCGAGGTCAGAAAGGTCTCTGTCAACATGGAGGCAAGCCGAATGAAAAGCCCAAATATCTACCTCACCAGCACCACCACCACCGCGGGGAAAATACGCCTAAGGCTAGATTGGGACCCCCGAGTCCCGAGCTCCTCCCCAGTATTACCTGAGCGGTCTCCCAGACGAGGAGCAGGTGACGCCCTCCCGACACCCACGTGCGGTCCAAAGGAGGCGGCGTCCAGAAGACGCAGCTAAGCCCTCAGCATCCAGCCCGGGGTAGGAAGCGCTGCCCACCCGGGGACGCAGGGAAGAGCCCCGAAACGCGAGCGGCGTTCCGTTCAGCACCTAGGGTGCTGCGCCCCATAAGCCTCCTGGTGGCGGCGATCCGCCCAGAACTCCAGGAAGGGGCCCCGCACCCGGGCGCCACCCCAGTACCGCTCACCTGGTCCGAGGCCCGGGCGGGCGGCGTCGCCAGCCTCGCGCACAGCCCCCGCGTGCCAAGCCGGAGCCCGCTCCGCAAGCGCAGGAACAGCGCCGCCGAGGCCGCCATCTTGCGCTGACGCCATGCGGCCCCGCCCACTCGCTCCCTCCTTCCCCGACCCGGGTCGGGGCTGCGGCCAATGGCGGCGCAGGGGAGCGGCGGGAGGACGGCAGCCGAGAAAGACAAAGGGCTGCGGGCGCAGTGCCGCGAGCGCGCTCGCCTGGGTCTGAGCTCCCGCGGCCCACGACGCGCCAGCTACAGCAGAGCTGGCTGGCACCACGCCTCCGTCGGCCGCAGGGCGCTCCGCCGCCGCTGGAACGGACCGGGCGCCGCCCGTTGTTCAAGGGTAAAGCTGAGGCCGTAATGAAGGAACCTAATGGCTGCCCGGTTCGTCCTAAAAGCGAAAACCCGCGAGTAGGTCGCTCGTCCCGCCCCGAGGGGTCTGCCCTGGAAGCGGGCTTGCAGCCAGACCTCACGCGGAGCGCCGAGGCCGATCTGCCTTCTCTCCGATTCGCAGAGCCCTTTCTTGCGCCTCCCCCCAGGGGCCAATACTTAGGAAAGTCAGAAAAGCCAACGAAACCTCGTTCGAGTCCGGCGGGGTGGGGCGCATTGAGGGGCGCAAATGATTTTGAGGGGAAACAAAGTTTGATACTGTGATGTAAATTTTAAGGGCATGTAAAACGAACATATAACATAGGTACAAACACTAAGGTAGGAAAGGCAGTTTTTCAAGACACCCAGAATTCAGGGTTGTAATTACCTGTGGAGGAAAATGTACTTGGGGTGCTGCTAAAGTGGGTTTGATCTGGTACATAGTTTCCTAAGCTGGGTGGTGGGGACATGGCTGCCCCTCGTATGTCTTGGGCATCTGAAATTTTATGTTTGAAATACCCATTGTCTAAGCTGCTCCCCATCCGTGCCCCCAAGCTACAGTAGTTCTGCTGTCTACTATGTGGGCTCAAGAGAAAACCCAAGTGCCGTATCCTGCTCCATAGAAACGATTTGGGTTTACTGGGGAATACTGACTGACCTGAACTTAATGTAACTCAAGCTTGAGTAAGATGTAACTTCGGTCAATCACAAGGCAAGCTCTGTTCTAATCTTTCTGATGTCTTCTCAAGAGCCCTTTGGAGTAGGCAGTATCCTTTTCTAGATGGGGAAACTGAGGCTTGGGTAGGCCCATTATTTGCCCAAGAACACACAGCAAGGAAGTGGGGTGACCTCACTTACAGAACAGACCCCCCACCCCATACACACACACCTTTTGACCAAACAGCTTTTTATTGAAAGACCGCAACATAAACGCAAGCTGGGGGAGGGAGGGTGTGAGAAGGTGAGGACCCTCCCCCAGACTCTACTCGATTCCCACAAACATTAGGGAGGGAGAGAGGAACTCAGAAAGGAAAATAAAAGAAATCCTGAACAACCAGGCTAAACCCACTCCTGGCCCCAGATCCTGCATCAGACTCAAAGGCCAAGAAAGGTAGGAGGGACACTCTCCATCCGCCAGATACTTGCTAAAGTCCACCTGCTCTGCCTGCCTCAGGCCTCCAGAAGCTTCCCCAGGAAGCGAAGGTTGAGGATCTTGAGCTGCTCATCAAGGTCCATGCGGACAATGCCATCTTCACCGTCAATGCTCAACAGGACACCTGTGGCTTCCCGATCCTCACCCAGAATCACCTTCACCTGGTGGGGGGCATGGAGTCAGAGTCCATGTCAGTGGCCCAATGCCTCCACAGCCCCTGGCCCCCTACTTACCTTGTTGTTCTTGGTTGGAGTGATGGGCTCCAGGTGCTCACTGGAGATGCTGACAACCTTCTCACTGTCCTTCAGGTACACAGAGCACATACCTCCCTGGGGGCAGGGACAGACTCATCAGCCAGGCCTGCTCCCACACAGGACTGGTGCCCACACACAGGGAAACAGGCTCAGGGCTCATTCTAAGAAGTCACTTTCCCAAGGTGACATGGGCAGGAAAGGCCAAGGCTGGGCCTGGTTCCAAGGCCTGCAGTCTGTGGCACATTGGGGTAGGGAGACTAGACCAGCAAGCAAAGGAAGCAGAGGGTGAAACTAAAGCCAAAGAGAAACTGCTTTTCAGACACCTGACTCTCTATCCCCCAGACTGGCCTCAGCTTCTTCCCCACACTTGCTCCTCTTCCTGGGCTCCCATCTCAGAGATGGCCCCACAAGTCCCCAGCCCCCAGCCAGAGCTCTGGACCTCGTCATGGTCAGCATCTTCATAGACAACCTCCAGCTCTGAGACCTGTCCATCTGGCCCGCTGAGGGTTTCCCCCACCCGCCTCTCCACTCTTCCCCACAGCCCTGTAGTGCAGCCTGACTTCCCCCTCTGAGCTCCCAGTCTCCCTCTCACCACCCCCAATCCACCACCCCTAGGCCTCAACATAAGAGCAGCAATCTGCTCTATGTTGCTGAAAAACAAGACAGTGAACTAATTCTACACCACAGATCTGAGCCTACCACCCCCTGGCTTAGATTTCTCCATAATCCCCCCGTGCCTTCCGAACACAATCCAAATTCCCCAGGCTGGCACGTGACCCGGCCCCAGCCCTTCTCTGCCTCATTACTCATCTAACAGCCTCAGCTCTTTATGTTCCAGGAATATACTTCAACTCCCTGGACGGTTTTCCCTCACCTCTAGGCCTTTGCATGTCACCTCTAACTGGAACATACTTAACCCCATCCCCAGGCATTTCTCTTGGCTTATTCCTATTCATTCCTCAGGTTTTGGTATAGATGTCTCTTCTAGGAAGCCCTCCCTGATCTTCTCCAAAGTTGGGTTAGGTGCCTCATGTGGGTTTGCATAGCTCCCTCTGGGCTTCCTGCATCTCACTCAGCTCCGGCTACTCAGGCTGTCACTGGGGACATGTCTGTCTACCCCACACGACTGTCATATCTGTGAGGGCAAACCTGGAACTTTCTTGGTCTCTGGTGTTGAATTAATTCAACTAATATTTACTGGAGGGCCAACAAAGTACCAATCCCTCATCTAGGAACTAGGGCTACTTAGGGATAAAATACAGGTTTAGTAATCAAAGCATCACACCAGGGTAGACTTTTAAGCTTTTAGGTAGCAGGTAGACAACATGAAAAAGAATTACACACCCTTAAGAGACAGACCTGAGATAGATCGAGGTGCTTCCCTGAAGGATGAGTAAGAGTTAACCAGACAAATGGAAGGAAGAGAGTTCTAGACAGAGGAAAGTGATAAGCAAAGGTCCTGAGGCCAGAGGGAACTCGGTGACTATGAAGAATGGAGGGCAGTAGTACTAGAGCAGGGAGAGCCCAGAGAGTATGGGTGCCTGGCACTCAACCAAAGCCTGACACCAAGGAGTCCATGTTACGGAACTGATTTCAGAGGAATATGTCAAAAAGTAACCACACTCCAGTGTGCCAGTCAATTCTAGGCTGCTGGGGCCCCAGCTGTGAGCACAACAGGCAAAAATCCCTGCCTTGAAGAGCTTGCAAGCCAAACCCTTCCAGTTTTCCTTTCATTTTTCTAGCTATAAACAGGTTTTGGATGATGTGGTTAGACAGTTAAAAAGAAAACAAACCAGTAACCACAGAGATTGGGGGCCTCAAAGGATAAGATCCACCTACCAGCCCGAGTCCTGCTTACCGTGACACTGCGGATAACGCCTGTCTGCCCCACCACCTGCGTATCCAGGTAGGTGTCCCGCACCTTCACCTGGATGTCAGTGGTTACCCAGTCACTAGAGTTCTGCTCAATGCCTGAGCCTGGTGTGTGCGGGTTGTAGCCACCAGGGGAGGGCGCTCCAGGTGTCATGGGACTGTAGCCAACAGGGCTTGGGCTGGGACTGGCCTGTTGGGGAAAGGAGGATGGTGCGCTGTTAGGAACAGACCATCTGGCCTAGCTGTCCCTATAGGCCTGAGGCCCACTCTAGGCCACCACCCTCAAGGGCGAGCAAGCTGACCAGTACCTGATAGGCCATGGGCGAGGGTGTAGGGTGGTAGCTGGCTGGAGAATGGGTGTTTTGGTAGCCTGCCGGGCTTGGTGCCACCTGGTGGTAGCTCTGGGGGCTGGGGCTGGGTTGGTAGGAGCCTTGCGGGGATGGGGCAGCATAGGGGGAGAACTGGTCTGTGTTGTACCTGCAAAGACAAAGGGAGAGGAGGGCACCGGTCAGGGGCGGTGGGGAAGAGGAGGCAGCAGCAGTGCAGAGGGCATGGGCGGGCACTGGTTAGGGCTCGCCCCATCAGACTCACATGGCTGGTGTCCCTGGCGTCTGTGGGTTGTACTGTGGGTTGACCTGTGGGGATGAGGGGTCGGGGTAGCCAGGTGTTTGGGGATTAGGGGTGCCCCCATAAGCCTGTGGGGATGGGGTGGGCTCATCGTCGAAGGCATATTCATATTCTTCCTCAGCCCTGTCAGGGAGAGAAATCCGCTGAGAATGATCACAACAATGGAGCAAGTGCTTCCAACACCAGGTGTTGCTCCTCCATCCCGCAGACACAGGGCAATGGGAACCCCGCTGCCCGGCTCTCTGCCCTCACCGTGATGGCGTGTTAGGATTGTTGGGGTCCCAGGCCCCACTCTGGGCAGGAGTGCGGCTGCCATCATGCAGGGGCGTCTGCGAACCGTAATGCGGGGTGCGGCTGCCTGGAATGGGAGAGGCGTGTGGTTCGTCAGTTCTGTCCTGTGTTTATGCCCCCACCCTTGCCCCTCATCCCTGTCCCCTGGAGCACTTACCATCCTGGAGAGGTGTCTGAGAGCCATACATGGGTGTGCGGGAGCCAGAGCCATACATGGGCGTCTGGGAGCCATACATGGGTGTCCGCCCGTAAGTTGAGGTCATGCCACCTGGGCGCCGTGAACCCCTGTGGACAGAACGAGCTGGGTGAGCAGGGCCCTGTCACTGACCAACAACCTCCCTCCTGGCTCTGGCCTGGACCGTACACTGTGGTGAGCCGCTGGCGGTCCACAGAGATGGTCTGGCAGGTGGAGTGCAGCTCCACGCGGGCCGTGGACTCCGTGGCATCCTTCACCACACCAATGTAGCCTGGTGGGGAGGCAGGAGGTCAGGCCGGGTGAGGTTCTTCTCCACCACATCCTCCCCAGGCCTCCACAGCCTCACAGTCACCTTTGTAGGGCCCCTGGGAGATGCGCACAGTCTGGCCAATGAGCTCGTTGTCTCTCCGCCCCCGGCCCCTACTCATGCCACCGCTGCCACCACCTGGGCTGCCAAAGCCACCACGCTGACCTGTGGAGGAAGGAGAATGTTGTCAGCCCCCAGGGCCATGCCCTCCCCTCACGAACTGTGCCCACAGAACCCTCAAGCCTCCTTTTCACCTGTTTGATGACCCCCCATGGACCCACTGGGTTAGCTAAGAGCCTCCTTTGGGCATTCATCACACTCTGACCACTCTGGGCTGCCACTGTGGGGTGGGCTGTGTGCCCCACCATGACCAGGCCAGCCCAGAGCAGGCACTCAGTGAGTGTGGGCTGAATAACCTCCCTCTCCAGCCCCACAGACATATTCCCAGCATGATTTCCCCTTACCTCCAGCACTGGGGTGCATGGGGCTGCTGATTCGGGGGCTCATAGGGGCAAAGCCACCCACTGTGAAGTTGGTCACATCTCGGGGCTAGAGGAGGGGCAAAAAGTAGACTGGCAGGCGGGGCCTGGGTGATAGGCTCCCGGTCCCGTGCCACACTGCGTGCCTCCATTCAGGTGGGAACAGTTCCTGCTTGAATCTGCCCAGCAACCCTCCCTCTCGTGACAATACCTCAATTTCCCTTTGGGGAGACTGCCACCCCCATGCAATTGTGGGTCTGGCAATTAAAAGGCCCAGTCCTCCCTGATTTTCTTTCTCATATATGGTTCCATACAACTTTCCTACAAGTCCCCCACCTCAGGGCCTGTGCATTTGCTGTTCTCCTAGAATAGCCACATGGCTCTTCATCCCTTCATTCAGGTCCCTGCTCAAAGGCCACCTCCTCTATGTAAAGCAGTAGCCCCCACCATTCTCTATCTCCTTGTTTTATTTCTCTTCACAGTACTTACTGTCACCTCACTTTGTTCTAGGAATGTATTTATCTGTCATCTCAGAGTGGCAGCCCTAGGAGAACAGAGATCTTTGTCTTGCTCACTGCCCTGTCCAGCACCTAATAGGCCCTCGGTAAAACCAAATGAACCAATGCCTTGGTAAACAGCTCAGAAGCCCAATAAACTTTTTTTCCTCACTCTGCCAAGGACCTGACACTGACATCTACCCTCCTCATTCTCCACAGCCCATTCTTATCACTCCTGGGTCCAGGGAAGGCGAGAGAGCCCGCAGATACCCAAGAGACAGGGTGCCACCACATCTGCCTCACCTTCGAGCCCCCTGCCAGTACCAGGTGGCGGGTCTTGCAGACAAACATGCCCCCATTCTCCACCAGTTTCTTGCAGTGCAGGAAGGCAAAGCTGCGGAAGAGATGGCGAATCTCGCCCTCCCGACCCTGGATGGGAAGAGGATGGTCACTCTTGTGGACGCACCCCTACCCAACTCTTTCAGATGTGGCTACAGGCAGGAGCTGGTACTCACTGAGTGGGGGCCATCAATAACCTTGACGATGTCTTTTACATGGATGTTGTTCTGTTCCGAGTCCAGGGCCACAGCAAAGCGGTTGTCCTTCTTCCGGGTCACAGCCTGGTGCCTGACAGTCACTACCTTCCCATACATGTTCAGCACCTAGAGGGAAAAGGGGGATGGTGAAAGGGTATGAGTGGAAAGGGGTAACACAGAGCAGAGCTACCCTAAAGTGGCATGAGACTTCCTTGGGAGGAGACTGTGGGAAACTGAGACTGTCCCAAGCTCTGTAGGACATGTAGACCCCCTGGCTCTGGGACAGGGAGTAACAGGGCATCACCCCCTTGGCACTGGGTCAGCCAAAAATGTTCCCTATCATTCCAAACACCCTTTGGGAGGAGTCTTCATCCTGGCTGAGCATCAGGGACCTGAGAGATGGACGGAGGGATAAATTGTTAACCTAAGAGCTAATATTTACTCATAACTCTGTACCAAGCACCATGTAAATTCTTCACACAAGGTTTCACTGAAGTCTCAAAACCTCCCTCTGAGATGGATGCTGTCATGATTCCCATTTCACAGTGGGTGAGTCACAGCTCAAGAGAGGGGGAGTCACTGGCCCAGGGTCACAAAGCAAGGAGCATTAGAGCCAAAATGTGATTCCAGGGTCCTAAGCATTCTGCTCTGTGGCTCCCACATCCATGGGGAAGAGGGGAGGAAGGCACCCAGCATCCTGCCTTTGAGTAAGCACAGAATGTTTGGTTGCATATCTGATCTCGGGGACCAAGTCACACCCAATGAAATAGATGCTGACATTATCTCCATCTTACAGGGTGTGAAACTGAGGCAGAGTGAGAGTAGATGACATGCCACTTGCTCAAAATCACACAGCCACCGAGGATAAGAGTCCAGGTCTGCTACCCAGAACACTCTGGGTTCTTAGCCACCAGGCTCTGCCACCTCCCAGGATGAGGAGCTTGAAGAGAAAGCCATTAAGAGTAAGCCCTGCAACAGTGCAACACACACCTGAAAGGTCTCCCGCTCCAGTCGCACAATGACGCCCACAGTCTGCGGGTCCAGCTGCACCAGCTCCCCCCACTCATGCTGGCCCCCGACATCCACACCTGATGCTGTCTCCGAGCACAGCTGCAGGTCCCGCGGAAGCACCTTCAGCTGTGGGAGACGGAAGGGGTGAAGCAGGTCCAAGTGGCTCATCGGCCTGGATCTCCCCTTGGCATATCCACCCCACTCCCACTACCTACCTCATGCATGGTGAGGTCAGAGAAGAGTATGACAAAGTTCTCTTCTACCCGCACAATGAGGCCTGTGTCACCCTCGAATCGACCAGCAATCACCTTCACATGGTCCCCCATCTTGAAGTATTTTCGAAGTTCCTGGGCAGGGAACTCCAGCATGTCCTGGGGATGGGGTGTGGGAACAATAAGTGGGTGAGGAGAAGCTACCACAACTCACCTGCCTGTCTTCAGAATCCACTCGTGATTCCAGAAGACCCTGATTAAAGCCCAGTCCAGGTTCACACCACCCAAACACAGACTCCCTTCACCCTCAGACTGGCCCAGAGATGGCTGACGTCAGACTCAGGGAATCAGCCGGGACAGCCTTTGACCCCACACCCAGGCGTATGACAGCATATTGGATGCCTCCTCAGACCCACCAGAAGATAGCCTCACTGCAGACATGCCACACTAGCCTTGATGCGCGCACACACACACACACCACATACCACCACCACCACCCCAAACTAAGACCAGGTAGCCACCTCAGATTACTCCATGGTTACGTCAAGCCCTCCAATCTAATCCATCTGTACGGGCAACAGGGTACCTACTTTGAGGTCCTCATGCTTGGGCATGATGGTTATCTTATTGCCATCCACGCTGAGGATCTTGCCCTGCAGATTGATAAGCTCTCCCTCACACACCTCCACGTTGTCTCCAGGTTGGAAGTTGTGCTCCCGCTCCTTCCCTGCAGGCACAGATGCAGGACTGATGTGGGGGCTGCCTGCCATGCCACCCCCTTCTTGGCCTGGGTTACTGACAGGGACCAAATACCTGTGCTCTCAGTCACCACCTCCAGGTCAATGCCCTCTGGCTGGTCCTCAAACTTCTCCAGCTCTGAGAGTGTGGGCTTCACACCCTCTGTGATCTGAACCCCAAGAGATAAGAGGAAGAAGTGGATGAGGTAGGTGTCGTGGCCCAGCTGAGCGGGCTCAAATTATTCTCCTAGGGGCGCTCCTGACTGGAGGATTATCAAGGACAGATAACCCACTGCTTTAGGGCCTGAACTGGAGGGAGAGAAAGCTTGGTCTCCTCTCTCCCTACCACCATTAGCACAACACACTCTGGGACCCTCACCACAGCAGACATGGCAAAGCTCTTGAACAGAAAGCCCTTCCGGCTGTAACGGTTCCCCTCGAAGATGAGGAAGTCACCATCAGACGCAACATCACCCCCAAGGGACCTGGGATTTGTGGGGGAGAAAAGATTGGAAGGGCGGGTTAAGAGAACCCTGATGTACCTCAGTCTCACCTGCTGGCAAAGGGCGAAAAAGATGGCAGGCTGACTACCCATCCCATCCCAGCACTTGCCCTCTGGCTGGGAGTGACCTCTCACAAAGCTGCAAGGCCTTGCCTTGTGCAGGGGCACCCAGCCCCACCTCTCTGCCCTCTGCTACCTCCTTCTCTGATTTTTCACCACAGCACACACCACCCTCTGATGAACTATCTCCCTAACTAAAGCAGCAGCTCCCAAAGGGCAGCGATGTAACATCTTCTAGTCTCTGCTATTTCCCCCATAACAGTGACAGACACACATCAGGCACTTGGCGAACACTACGTGGGCAAAGTATGAGAGCACAGTCAACGTTCGTGGAGCGCTCAGCCCGCACGTGGCCTGGACACACACAAAACGTCATGGACTTCTCTGAAAACCTAGGCCAACAGTGATATGTCCCCCATTTTTCAGGGAGGTGAGGGGATGAGGCTCGAAGAGAGAACACCACACAGCCAAGGTGGTGCGGCCGGCGAGTCTCAGTCAGGATCAAGGGTAGGGGATGGGACTCCCAAGCTTGTTGCCTTATTCTAGTGGCCGTGCATGTGGGGTGGGGGACACTTAGTCACTGCCCCATGCTTACAGTGGGGAGGGAAAACCTGCCACACTCCCAGCAAGGGCACGTGAGGTGCAGCTGAGCTCCTCCTGCTGCTCACTTGGTCGCTGTCTTGTTCACATGGAGTTTTGGGAGAGGGACGAGCATTTCTGCTGGGCACGTCAGGGCACCCTGTCGGCTAGGCCCAGGACACAGGAGTGGGCTGGGGGTAGGGTCCAGTTGGGCGGAGACCAGTGGTGTAAATGGGTCCAATTCAGGCACAGGAAGTGTTAGCTAGGTCTTGGGAGCAGATCCAAAGGCATGTTCTGCAGCCCAGCCTTTATCAGAACGAAAAGTTGTCTGGCTGCTCAGAACAGCTCCACAACAGGACCAGAGGTCAAGTGCCACTAATAGTTCTTGTTTCTCTTGGTGGACCCTCCTGGCCAGACCCAGAATGCGGGAATCCCTGGGCTGCTCCAACGCTCCATCCAGCTGGGGAGGGTAAGGCATCCTGACGGAAGAGGCTCTACACCCCTACATCTCAGGTGCCCAGCTCAGGAGATCAGGAAAAGAGACGTGTTAGGGCCTGACATGTTGATAAATCACATCTCACTATAGGATCCCACTAGTCACACTATGTGCCACGTGCTGTTCCAGGCATACATGCGTATCAACTCTTTTGATTCTCACTACAATCCTAGACGCAGGGGCTGCATGTCCACAGCAGAGGTAACTGAGGCATAGGGATGTTAAACAATCTGGCTGAGGCTATATTGCTAAGCCAATCACTTATAACCTAAACCGTGGATTTGGGCATGGGATGGGGGAACATCCCAGTGGAGGGAACCTGCAAAGGCACATTCTGTACCATAGCTCTGGGGACCCAGTGCCCCCAGTCCCCAAGGACATTCACCTGATCTTCTCAGCATCGAACAGCCTCTGCGGAGGCCGCTTAAACTTCTTCCTTTTGGCAAACCAGTCTTTCTGTGGAGGAAAAGGGGCATGGTGGGAAGGGTGAGGGAGAAGGGCATGGCCACCAACAGTAATCAGCACCCACCGCGCCCTCCAGCAGCATGACCCGAGATACCAAGCTCATGCGGGCCTTGATACGGTCGTAGTCAATGCGTGGGATCATCTTCAGTGAGATGGTGTTTTGGCTGGGCTCCACATAGTCCACCTGAGAAGGCAGGTGGGTGCTCAGGGGGGCCCGGTCCCAAAACTGGCCCACCCTCCCTGACCCCAGACACAAGAAAGGCAAGGAGATGCCTGGAAGGGCAAGAGATGGGGTGAAGAGGAAGAAATCAAGACTGACAACAACTCCCAGAATGCTCTCTCTAGCCCGTCTGCCCTCAACTCTGAAACTGAATATCCACTGCCCCCTTTACACGGCCACTTGGACATCTAAAAGGTCCCTCAAACCTAGCACAACTACAGCTAACCTCCTCAGTTCCCCCCAAACCTGCCCCTCTTCCAATCTTCACCCACTCCATTCTTCCTTCTACTCAGGCACACAAGCTGGCAGTCATTCTTGACTCCTTTGTCTTATACCCATAACCAATACGTTAGCATCCTGGCAGCTCTGCCTTCCAAAGTCTGACCTCTTCCCTCCTCTATTATTATGGCCTTGGGCCTATTATCACCTGCACTGGACACCCAGACTGGGCCATCAGGCTCCCTGCTTCTGGGGGCCCATCCAGTCTGTTCCAGGGTTTTGCAGTCAGGAAACTGTTGTGGGTAGCTGCCCCACACAATGTAGGATATGGCAGTGACATGTCTCTCTTAGAGCCGCTATCCCATCCTATTTCTATAAAAGCCAAAGCCCTACAACGCTGTCACCTTCCCGAGCTCATCGCCTGCCACTGTCACCCTCACTCTGCTTCAGCCAGAGCCAGTCTGATCTCCTGTGCTGTTCCCTTTGCAAACTCCACATGGCTCACTCACTCACCTTCAGATCTTTACCCAACATGCTTTGAACATGCACAGGAGATAGCCACCCACCTCCTGTGTGCTCCCAACAAAATCCAAGCTCTGCTTCACCTAATCTGAGTGGGGTTCTGCTCTCTGCACTAGGAAGGGGGCTGGGAATGACAAAAGGAGAGGAGAGGAGGACAGGACAGAGGAGCAGAAGTGTGTCTGTGAGCTCTGCCCTGCAGCTGCCTGTCCCCCTTCACGCCCAGGCACCTGTGCGATGTCGTCCTTATAGATGCCCCGCTTGAGGCGGACCCAGGACTTTGGTTTCAGGTTGGCCACTTCCTTCACCACTTTGAGCACATCTGTCATCTCCTTGATGGGCACCATCTGCTGATTCCAGTAGCCAAGCCGCAGGTTGCCTACGCCCTCGATGGCCTGCTTCACGTGGGTCTGCTTGTAGGCCTCCACGTAGATGTAGCCCTTCACGTGCTCTGGTGCCACTACTGACTTAATCTGCAGGGGCTGTTGGGCCAAGCCAGTGGAAGGAGATAGTGAGACAACATTGCTCATGATCACAACCAGCACCACTCTGCAGTTTTTCTTTCAGGAACTTATCCCATAGAAATATGCTTGTGTAACAATACAGACACAAGGATAGTCACTGAGGAGGTACCACTATAGCAAATGAGACTGGAAATTTTTAAATGTCTCAACAGGAAGGTTTGTTGAATTATGGCATAACTGTAATATGAAATACAACATAGCACTGGAAAAAACCAATGAGATTAATCTGTACATACTAACATAGAAAGACATCCCACATATGTGTAAAAAGCAACTAGACCAAAGACAGCTGGAGTGACTGTACTACAGCAGATAGAACAGACTTAAGATAATGTTGTAAAGACACAAAGGACACTTTATAATGTAAAAGGGTCAATCAGTCAAGATGTAAGAATTATACATTTACAGGAACCTAACAACAGAGCCTCAAAACACATGAAGCAAAAACAGAAATAAAGAAACTGACAATTCACCAATAATAATTGGAGACTTTCAAGAGTGAAGAGAATGAGACAGAAGATTAACTTGAGCAATCCCATGAGCCAGCTGGACCTAACAGACATCTGAAGACAGAACCCTCCCTTTAACTATGCACATTCTCCTCAGGGCACACTGAACACTCCAGGATAAACCATGTTAGGCCACAAAACAAGTCTCAATAAATATAGAAAAACTGAAATAATATGCATTCTCCAGCTAAATGAAATTAGAAATGAGTAATGGGAGATTGAGAAAATTCACAAACACATGGAAATATATTCCTAAGATATCACACAGAAACACAGAACATTAGAAAATGTTTAAGATGAATGAAAAAAAAAACATGCTAAAACTTAGGGAATGCGAGAGAGCTGTGCTTAGACGTAAATGTATAGCTGTAAATGCTAATGTAGAAAAATATCTCAAATCAGTAACCTAACCTTCTACCCTTAAGAAACTAGAAAAGGAAGAGGAAACTAAACCCAAAGCAAGCAGCAGGAAAGAAATAATAAAGATCAGGGTGGAAATAAGTGGAAGAGAGTGGGAAAATTGAAGTCCATCAAAACCAGAAGTTGGTTCTTTGAAAAGACTAACAAATCTGACAAACCCTTAGCCAGAAAAAAAGAAACGATTCAAATTACTAAAATAAGGAATGAAAGAAAGGACACTACTTCCAGTCTTACAGAAATATTAGGTAATACTATGAAAAACTTCTTGCCAACAAATTAGATAACCTAAATGAACATTTTTCATAGAAAGACATAAAACTACCACAAAATGGACTCAAAAGAAATAGAAAATGTGAATAGGCCTACAAGATACTAAACTAGTAATCAAACACTAACACATATGCTAGGACTAGATGGTTTCACTAATGAAAACAACCATTTTAATAATCAATACCAATCCTTCAAAAACTTTTTATAAGAACATTTCCCAACTCATTCTATGAACCCAGTTTTACCCGGGTATCAAAACCAGAAAGCACAGTAAAACTGTAGACCAATTATCTCCTATGAATATAGATATAAAACTCTTAAAAAAACAAACAAACAAAAAACTCTTCAACGAGAGAACATGGAACCCAGCAACAAATAAAAAGGATCATACACCATGATCATGAACCTTATGGTATGTGAATTTTATCATGAACTTTAAAAAAGCAACCAGTTTGTTTAGCACTGACTATCATCATAGAAAACAGTAAACACCTTATATTTACTGGGCATGAGAAGATGATTATGGCATTTACAAAAGGCTTGCTGCACAATGAAATGTATATAATACTATTTTGTTTAAAAAAAAACAATGCATTTTTCAACATGCACAGATGATCTGAAAAGGCATACAAACCAACAGGAGTTACTTCCAACAAATGGGACTCAGGTATGGAGAGATTTGGGCTTCTACAACATACATGTACTATTTTGGTCATTAAAAACAAAAACAGTAATCAGAGTCATAACTCATATGGGGTCACTAGAATTTTGTCCAGGTAACAAAAGAGACAAAGAAGAATTGATTATACAGGTTTGAGCACATTTAACTGAACACATTTAAAATCACGATTTGTAAATCCTACAACTGTCCACTTGGTCCCACTGGCATACACCCACTGCTTCAGCAGGTAAAAAACATGAATCATTATTAAGTGAGAAAGTTACTAGTGAGCATCCATGTTATCAGCAGCCCCATGTTTCAAGAATTTGAGGACACCCTGCATAGGATTCACCCCAATTCCAAAACTGATGATTATGCCTCTGATGACAACTACATTTATTGAACACAAGCTTCAGGACAAGTCCTTGCTGAGAACTGGTTATGTCCAAAGCTATTTAACTCTAATGATGCTGAGGGGAAAGCAAGCGGTCCAAGAAAGAAATGGCTTCATCAAGGTCACACAGTCAGAGGAAGCAGGAGGAGCAGGATTCAAACCCCAGCCATCTGTGTCCTTAATGCAGCTTCTGCAGGTGGCATTCCTTTGTGTTTTGTGTGCTGTGAGTAAACCCCGTAGGGGCAGGGACTGTTCTGGCAGAGCTACCACCATATCCTCAGCATCTCCCTGTAATGGGACGGCCCAGACGAGGGCATCAGCAGATGTCTGATGACTGCACGAGAGAAGGCAGGCACACTCCTCCAGACGCGCTCCGCACACGGCCCTACTCGGCACCCCTCCCAGCAGTGCTGGTGAACGGCAGAGTGAACTCTCAGGCAGAATGGGCTCAGGACGCTAGATGACTTCCAGAGGACTCCAGGGGCTGGGAGGCCAGAATTACTGACAGAAATACTGACAAGGTTAGACGACACCTCTGTCAGGCACGGAAGAATGCTTCAGGCCAGGCAGCGCAGCTGTTTTATAGCTGAAGGAGCTCACCTAACAGGCAGTGCTGTTCAGCGCAAGAGCACCGGGGACCCTTAAACCTATATTGTCCCTCCCTCGGGCTTTGCCCTGTCTCTCACCTGCAAGCTGTCTGCCTACTCAACTTACCGTGTCTGTGAACTGGTAGGCAATAAACTTGCGCATCAAGGAAATGGCTGTTGCCCGTTCCTCTCCAATCTGGAAGAAGAGAGGCAGATTTAAGAGAGATGATGAGACCAAGGACAGGACACAGAAAAGGGGATGGAGACAGGAGCAAGGGAGACAAAGTCACCGGGTAAGAAAGATAAAGTATGGGGGAGAGAGGAATAAGAAAGATGGAGAGATACCGAGTGGGACAGATGGACAGCCAGAAAGGCGGGAGACAGTGAGTATGCGAGCAGGAAGAAGAGGTGAGGAGGGAGAGAAGGGTGGAGATGCAGAGACAGAAGGACCAAGAGACTGACAGGTCATGGAGACTCAGGATGGACAGACGGAGCATCCTCCCTGGCAAAGCTACCCCTCACTCCTCCTGCTTCCCCTATGTCGTGAAGCCTGGGCACACACCTTACATTTGACAGTCCACAGATTGGGATCCCTACACAGGAGAGGAAAAGGAAGACCTTCAGTGTGACCTGTCATCAAAGACCACACCCACCCTTCCTCTCCCTTTTCCATCCTTCCATCCACAGCAAAAGGAAGGAGAGAGAAAGCACCAACTTAGCCCCAACATCCACCACTCTGTGTCCTGATTTTCACAGCTCACCTTTCACTTCAGGGAGTGACCCACGTGGGCACATCATCTCAGTACAGGATCCCCACCCCAGCCCTCCTGTTCCTCCCACTTACTTGACTCCCGGGAGCAGCTGCTGCTGGGTGATGTCATCCGAGAGCTCGTCAGATCCTCCATACACCCTGGGGAGAGAAGGGCAGCTGGGAAGGAGGACGTGAGGCTGGCAGACCCGAGTCTTCCCAAAAAGTGACCATCTGCTCCTTGTGCCCAGCCTGCCCCAAGCCCTTACGTCTCTCCCACAGATGACTTGGCATATTTCTTCATGTAATATTCACCCAATTCTTCTTCTCGCTGGTCCCTGGGAACAGAAAAGTAAACATGAATTGAAGGTTGAGGAGAGAAGAGTAGGCTCACCTGCCCCCAAATCTCCCCACAGGAGTCAGTCTCACCCTTTACCCTCCCTGCTTACCTCCAGAGGTTTTGTAGGCGGCGAGCCCCAGACCGGTCTTCATCCAAGACAACATTATCAATATTGGAAGCTGCAAAAAAGTGGGCAGAAGGAGTGAGTAAGGGGAGGTGAAGAACAGGGGCCTAGAGAAAGTAGTGAGGGCTAAGAGGGCCAGAGTTGGGCCCCAGGACAGGAGATGCCTCACTGAGGAAACCCCCAACCCTCACCCTTCTAATCTGTCCTGTTCTCACAAAAAAGACTTGGGGACAGGGCCCAGCAGTTGTGGGACATCTAACTGTTCCCCATCTCATAGCCACTGGCTCAGCACACCCTGAACTTCATCCCACCCCACCCATCCCTACCACCCACGCATACATAAACACACACACACTTTCCCAGGCCAACAACTGCTGGAGACCTGGCCCCAGAACCTCTGAGTTAGAGCCCTCAGAGCCAGACAGGGGTGGAGATGAGGGAGGGTGCCACAGGCAGGAGGGAGGAGATGTCAGGATATGGGCAGAGGGTCGGGAAATCACATTTTTCAAATTCTTACCTTCAATCTCTTCTACTTGGAGGAAGAGAAGGTGGTGGTGGTTGTGGTGGTGGTGGTGGTGGTGGTGGGCGAAGGCAGACAAAGTATGAGCCAAATTATAGCAGCAAAATCAACCAATGGGTTTGGGGAAGGGGGAGGGAGGGACACAGGAAGGTTGAAATCAAAAGTAACGGCCAGGCACCAGGTGGTTGGGAGAGAAGCCGAAATGTATGAGGCACACAAAACAGAAAATACAGGGAAAGGGAGGGCACTGGCCCAGGAAGTGGGGGGTATCTTGGGACCAAGCCCACCCACTCTATAACCCCCAAGGTATTCTCTGGGGCCCTGGGATCCCAGAGTTCTCTCCCCACAACATTCACCACCCCACAGCCCCCACCCCCCAACTCTTGGGCCTAAAAGGAAAAGGGTGGGAGCTGGTCTCTCTGGCAACAACAGAAAGAAGCAGGTGAGGAGGGTGGGGGTTGGGGTGGTGCAGGGCATGGGGGTAGGGGATGGGCCCTCAAGACCCTCTCAGCCACACTCCCCGGTGGTCTTGCAGAGGTGGGGGGGCCCCACAGACCTTTCTCTAGGATGTCCTCTGCACCGTCCTCCCACTGGTCCTCATCCTCATACTCATCGTCCACATCTGAAAAGGGCAGGCCAAAGAAGTCAGGAGGGCAGCTGGGGCAAAGGTGACCTCAGAATGGCGGCTACCAGGAAACACCTCCTCCAGGACACAGGCACTGAAAATTCCACCTTACAGACCAGGATATGGAGGCACCCCAAGCGGAGCTGCTCCAAGCCGCAAGGGTCAGGTCTCCCCACAGGCTGCTGGAAGTCATCTTTACCCCACCCTCACAGAGCCATTAAAAAATACAATCAAAGTAAGTAGGCAGAAAAATTCCCTCCCAGCTATCAAGGGAACATGGTATATTGTTGTTTAAAAGACAAGAGTCCATGCTTTGTTGGTTTTACTATTATTTCCTTACATTTGTAATAGCTAACACTTAACAGGTATTGAATGAGTACTATGTGCCCTGCCCTGTTCTGAGTACTTGCCAGATTTCTCAATGAATGCTGCTGGCAACCCTCACAGGCGAACCACCATTCTGATTTTACAGTAGCGGGTGGAGGCCCAGAGGTTTCCTAACTTGCCTAAAGCCTCTCAGCTGGTACCTGAGAGGCTGTCTGGTTCTAGGGTCCATGCACTCATCCTTTTCACTGTTACATAAACTCTTTTGTATGTTACATATACAAACAATAGTGACACCTGCACGTAATGAAAAACTCCAGTGTACAAAGAACGTGTATGTGCAGTTTAAGTCTCCCTCGCATTTCTAATCCCCAGTATCTTAGGCCCCTTCCCAGAGGCAACTGTGTGACCGGTTTCTTATCTAGAGATATCTGTGTATATATAAGAAATGCTTGAAAATCCTCCATTTCCCTGCCAATGCAATTTTTTAACCAGCTAGTCTATGCCTCCTTTTCCTCTAAGCAGTACCACTAGCTTGGAGATCTTCCATAGGAGCACATGCCTCATATGCTGTTTGACTCAAAATTCACCGTACCAAGCCTGTATCACCAATGGACAATTAGGCCACCAAACATTTGCAACTACAGACAGGATTACAGCAAGAATTCACTCCCATGTCTCTGTGCACCTATGAGCTTAACTGAAGGGTGAATTACTGAAAAGCACTTGGCAGATCAAGGGGTCCCTGCATATTAAATGTTAATGGGCACTTCCATGTAGTCTTCCCACAGGCAGTGCCTGATGACATTCCCACCACCAACACACAGTGTCCCTAGTGGCACACATCTATGTCAGATGGCACGTCAGCCATTCTGATCTGGCCCATCTGCTACCAAAGACCTTTTCTCTAAGCAAGGTTTCCCACCCCCTCAGCCTTTGAGCAAAAGGCCAAAGCTTTCAGAGAACCAGGATACCCAAAGCATCTCTTGCCCTGCTGCTCTCTGTATCCCCCTCAGGTAAGAGGATCGCAGGAAAATGGAGAATGGTGTTCTGAGTGCCCCCTTTGTATGGGTGTGGGAAACAAGCTCTCACACTTATGGCTGGTGGGAGTATCAACTAGTGTGACTTTCTCAGGAGCTGGTATTTGGTTGCAGATATCAAAAACCAAAAAGCTTTAAAAATATGCATTCCCTTCACCCAGCAATTTGACTTATACAGATTTACCATGCAGAAAATCTGCAGAGTCTGTTAATGAAAAAAACCACATCCTCATTTTCACTAATCTCTAACCAAAATTTAGCATTTATATCAATCATGAACAAAAGTGACAAACCACAGCAATGTTAGTAGTGAAATCTAATTATTTTTATAGCACACTGTAGCTGCAGAGATCTCAATATATCACTCACACTCCTTCCTACTTTAAAATTAGATTATTTGACCCTCCATTAAATATCGTTTTAATGTGTTAAATAAAGCAGCACATATATTACAATGTTCTTTTAATACTTAAACACCATATTTCAATATACCTGTTCTCTGTGGAATCCTATTTGTGTGTTTTTTTAATGCATTTCAGAATAAGATTCCAAGAGGAGGTCATACACTTTGCAGACTGCAAAAGTGGCCATAGCACAAAAAAGGCTAAGAGCCCCAGTCTAGACCATAACTTGCATCTGTGTGTCTAACTATGTATGAAGATGTTCACAGCAGGGCTGCCTGAAATAATGAAAAATTCAAACAACTTCTGTGTCCAAGAAGAGACAGGTTAAGTAAAAGACGGCAGAGAACAGAACACTACGCAACTCCTGGAAAGCCAATATCTGGATGATGATGATAGCAGCTGACATTCAGGGAGCACTCAGATGCCTCCAAGTGTTCAGAAAACTTGCTTACATGAACTAACTCATTTAGTCTAAGCTATCTGTTACATATACACCTTCACAGCCATGGAATGAGAACAGCAATTTACAGGCTAGTGGATACAATGCAGGCCTATGTAACGTAAATAAACGACCCTGTTTTCTGAGGGCCTGCTCCAGGCTTGGCATCACACTTGGGGTTGCCATCCATGGGACAGGTTTTACACACATGGTCCCCAAGTCCTCGAAATGTCCCTGCTGAAATGGGAAGAACTGCTTGCTCCCCTTGTACAGAGGGAGAAAGAGGCTCAGAGAGACAGACAGCAACTTGCCCAGGGCCACATGGAGAAAAGAGCAGAGCCAGGCCTGAAGGGACCTGGATCTGTCAGGCTCCACTATCCTGTCCTACTGTCAGCTTCTAGGTTGTCTGAGCTTTTTGTGACATGTACAGATTATTATCAGTCTCTAAAAGGGTGATAATAGTATTGTAATTGTGTGTTTTAAAAGCATTTGTCTTTTAGGAATATATACAGAAACGTTTTTGGGTAGGTTTATGTATTTGGATTTGCTTTGATATAGCCCGGGGGGCGCAGGGCACGGACCGAGGAGAAATAAGCAAGTCAAGGTTGGTGCTAAGCTATTAACTGCTGATGTTAGGTGATGGCACATGGGTGCCCCATGCACTACCCTACTACTGTGTGTTACCCGTTCCCACAAAAAAAAAAGGTTTTAAAAAGTACATTCAAGAAATGGAACTGAAGGTGAAGACCAGCCTGTGACTTACCGGCCTCGTCCAGAATGAAGCCGCCGTGACGGGGCTTTTTGGGGGGCCGGTCATCATCTTCCTCCTCCTCTTCCTCATCATATTCCTCCTCCTCTTCCTCTTCTTCCTCTTCCTCGGGCTCTTCCTCCTTCTCACTGCCTGCTGCACTCCGCCGCTCCTCCTCTACCTGCAGGTCAGGTACAGAGGATTGGCTGCACTAGGGTCCTGTACCCACAAATCCAGACAGACACCAAACTCCCCACCCTCAAATCTGACTTCAGCTCAGCCTGGTCAGCCACAGCCACCTCTGCTCTGTGTACACTCCCTTCCACCCTGGTAGCCATTCTTTCTCAGTGACAGCACCACCATCCACCCAACCAATACTTGGGTACTGGGCCGGACTCCCCCTCCACTAGACCTCCTTGCTAGCCTCCTAACTTTTAAAAGAATGGCCTTTAAAAGTTACAGCTCCATAAGTTTGGTCTCTTCCCACTCCAACTCCCCAGGCCGTCTCATCCACTCCCTTGCTTGGGATGGACATGTCTGTGACAGTGAACACCACGTCTCTGCATTGCACTGTACTACATGCCTCCCCTAGATGTCCTCTGAGCCCTTCACACCCACCGTGTCCCAAACTGACCTCAGTGTCTTCCCCTAGACTTGTGCTGGCCTCCTCTAGCTCTCAGCAGGCACCGAATTCCTGACCATTCTGCCTTTTGAACCTCACCTCTCCAGTCCATCCCTTCTTCTCCATCCCCACAGCCCCTATCCTAGGCCAGCGCACTGCCCTCTAACACCTGGATCCTTGCCTCCAGCCTCCTTTCTGGTCTCTTGGCCTCTAATCCCTCTCTCCACACCAGTCACAAAAGGAAGTAACCCATATAAAAGTGTCCCCCAAACTTCAATCTTTTCCTCATTAACTTTATGATTGCTTGCCACATCCACATCAGTATGCACTATTTATCTGATAGTCCCTTTAAATTCACTCTAATTTTTATTTCATTTAAAAGAGAAATTTTTCTATGTTCTGAAATATTTCAGAAGTGAAAACTTAGCTTGTCATAAATATAAAGTAACCATAAAGATAAAAGCAAACCATATAATTAGGTCTCAGTATGACACTGTTGCCTGCTTGGCTGTTGCAGGCCATCAGCAAATTTTCAGAAAGGTGCTCAAAAGACAGTACCACCTGGAGCCAGATGGTATTATGCTCAGTGAAATAAGCCAGGTGGAAAAAGACAAGTATCAAATGATTTCACTCATCTGTGGAGTATAAGAACAAAGAAAAATACTGAAGAACAAAACAGCAGCAGACTTACAGAACCCAAAAATGGACCAACAGTTACCAAAGGGAAAGGGACTGGGGAGGATGGGTGGGAAGAGAGGGACAAGGAGGAAAAAGGGGTATTACAATCAGCAGACATAATGTAGGGGAGGGCACAGGGAAGGCAGTACAACACAGAGAAGACAAGTAGTGATTCTAAAGCATCTTACTACGCTGATGGACAGTGACTATAATGGGGTGGGGGGGGGGGACTTGATGATGGGTGTAGTCTAGTAACCATAATGTTGCTCATGTAATTGCAGATTCATGATACCAAAATAAATAAATAAAAATAAAACACAGGACCACCAAAGAGAAACCTTCTCTGTGACCCAATCAAAAGACACAGTACGCAGCTGAAAAGGAAATAACTTCCTCACTAAATGAGTCCATGTGAAGTGAAGTCTTGCTCTTATTTTCACCTAAAGACACCTCTCATCTCTCCCCAACCTGGAATGCATCCTGTAGTCTTGGGAAACTGATCTCAAACATCAACCTCCTCATTTGGTTCCCTAAAACACAGCCACAGCTCCCCACTGCCCTCAGATAAAGAACAAGCTCCCTGGCCCTCTGCTCTAGAAGGGCACACTCCGCCCACTGCCTCTCCCTCTCATCCCACCTCTCCAGGATCCCCCTCTCAAATGCTGGGTCTCAGCCACACTGAACCACTTGTACCAAGTTCTCTCACCACTGTCCATCATCCATGCTGGTGCTCTGCACAGAAAGCCATTCTTCTCTGTCCCTCACTCATACTTCATCTAAATACCCCCCTTCCAGGAAATCATGCCTGCCCTCCTAACCTCCCCCACCAATGTCAGGCACAACCACTGGGCTCACAACCCTCTGAGCTTCCTCCATCACAGCTCTGACCACTGTGAGCTCCCTGAGAGCAGGGCACAGGCCCTCTTCAGGCCCTGCTGGGTCCCCAACACCACCCAGCCCAAGGATGGAAACAGAAGGTGACTTAAGAAACATCTGCTTAATACATAATCCTGAGTAGCCCACAATATCTCACATTTTAACAACTCAAACTACGACAGGATATAGCCTGATTTCTAGGAACACTGTCATCATCCCCCTGGCTCAGCCTCAGCAAAGCCTTCTTTCTAAACCTGACTCCCCACTCTATGAGGACAGAGCTCCCTCTACTATCTTTGTGTTACCTCGGGGACTGAATGTGCTCTTACACCATCCTTCCTAAGCACCCCCTGAGGTTAACCATCTGTTTATAAAACTATCTCCACCCCAAAACAGAGAGCTCCACATGATTCCAACATGACAGGAACTCAAGAACACTTGCTGAATGAATGAATGAGACTACTGGGCCTGAGAACACTGAACCAGCTGATTTCTCCAACAGCATCCCATTACTTGGCATCCCTCCCTATCCACAGGACCAACATTCGGCTGTCTAAAAAGCCCATCCAGTTCTATCTGTGGCAGTGGGGGCAGGCCTCATACTGCCCTCCTGCCTCACCTGGTGACAGCAGACAAGCCAGCACATGAGTCAAGAGGCTGGTGTGGGTGTTGAGGAAGTGAGACTTGCACAGTGCAAACCAGACTGTCCCAGCCAGGAAAAGGAACTGGGGATCCTGGTCTCATTACTACCAGGCTTTAACCACAACCAAGTGTCTTGAAGTCATGAGTCACAGACACCAAGAACCCAGTGCTATAGCCCTTCTGGCTTCCCCACCACTTTGCCCACCCTACCATGACACCTCAATTCTACCAACTGTCCACTGACGACTCCCCAAAGGGCAGAACAACAACAGATAATCAAATGCCTACAGAAGGCAAGCAGGCAACACAGTAAGTGGGGCAGCTAATGGAAACCCATGGCACGCTCCATCTACCTGATGTTTCCTATGAAATACTTCCTTTTCTTAAATCAGGCATGATGATAAAAGGCAACTTTTATATACTGAGAATCAGAGAAAATTCCCAGTTCTAAAGAGGACTGCCACTTCTTGAGAGAGGAACCAGCGTAGAACAATCCTGGGTCTCAGGATGCAAGTCCCCTCCCATTTTCCCAGAAAAGCAGGAAATCTTGATTTTTATGTGACATCACCCTTACAAGTGCTGACTTAAGTTAATTTAGCTAACTTAAGAAATAAATTTACATTTCTGTAAGTCAAAGGAGTCATCTACAGCCATCCTGTCATCTTTTCATGAGTTTGAAACTGTTGCCTGCCATGTGTAAACTCCGTGAAAGCAGGGATTTGCTTTGCTCCACTCCCCAACATTTACAAAGTATCTGGAATATGGTAGATGCCCAAACTTTTTTTTGTTCAATAAATGATTAAGTCAGAAATAAGTAAAACAGGATTAACATTTAATAAAGGAATATTTGAAATCGGTTATGTCCCAAGAAAAGTTTATTTGGTTCCTGAAAGTGATATTTAACAGACCCAAAGCCAGAGTGGTCCTTCCAAAACATTAGATCCCATCCTTCCTTTGCTCAAAACCTTCTCATGGCTCTGTCTCACTCAATTAAGGACAAATTCCTTATCACAGCCTTCAAAATCCTGTATGATCTGGCTCCTGTTAATTCTTCATTGCCCTCACTCTAATCCAGCCAGACCAAGTCCTTGTTACTTCTTGAACGCTACAGACATGCTCCTAACTTTGCTCCCTGTTTTCCCTTACTGGAACTCTTTTCTTCCATATGACATAACTCACTCCTTCACCACCACCAAGTCCTTCCACATGTCACCATCTCAAGATTTACCATGATCACCCCATTTAAAGTGCAACCAAGACTCCCTATTCCCCTTTTTTTCTGATTCCCTTCTAGCTCACTTAGGACATGATTTATTTATCAGTTATGTTTATTACATGACCAGGGCAAAGATTTTTAAAACCTGCTTTGTTTACTGGTGTAGCCCACGGGCAAAGAACTGGGCCTAGCACACAGTAGGCACTAAAAATAAATTTCCACAATGACTGAGGACACCTAAAAGTAAAAGTTAATACATGCCAAGTCCTTTAAACACATCACCTCTTATCTCACTGTATCTGGACCGTCTCTAGCCTCCAGTACCTGCCCCTCTGCTTGCCTACTTTTCTCTCTCTCTCTCCCGATACCGGGGAGCTCCCAAAGGCCAGAGCTCGCTCTGCTCCCCTCTGAGCTCCCACAGGGGCCTACCTGTCCTGGTCCTGTCCCCACGGGCAATGCCTCCCCCAGCGTCCCAGGCACAGACCTCGGGCTCCTCGCCGTCACTGCTGCGCTCACTATCCTCCTCTTCGGAGAAGTTGCTGTCCTCGCTGTCCGACATTTCTGCTCTTGCAAAAAAAGACGGCGACCTCAGCGCGTCCCTCAATCCCAAGCCTCAGTTTCCCCGCCAGTTCCCGAGAAGAAACTCTTTCAGCGCACTTCCGGCAGCCTCGTCTGACAACCGTGAACCCGAAAGGGGACCTCCCCGGGGACACCCCCACTCCAGAGTCCCTGAATCCAGCCTCTACACCTCCCTGACCCCCGGGGACCCCCGGGCCTGCCACCTCCGCATTCGACTCACCCTTCACCGGTCCGTTTGCAGCTTTGCCTCCGGTACCAGATGTTCACACGACGCCTCGCTGGGACTAACGTGCCTTCTCGCGAGAACCTACTCGTTGGTCTCGCCTAACGCGATATTTCCGAGGCTCGCCCAGGGAGCGCAGTTCCAGGAAGCCATCCTGAGAGTGGCATGACGCGTGGGTCTCTCATCTTTGGAGGGTCAAAGAAAGTAGAACTATTTCCCCCTCAGACCTGGCCTCTTCCAACCCGGAATTCGTGCTTGTGTTTATTCCACATTGCTACTGCAGTATGCCAAACCGTGAGAAATTAGCAAGTAATAATTAGCAAATAATAACAAATTAGCAAATAAATCAGACTATCTCATAGGCTCTCTAAAATATTCCCAGGAGGTAAGTACCCCAATTTCGCAGAAGAGAAAACTGAAGCGCAGAAAAATACACTAACTGGAACGTGGCAGACCGAGTGTCCTCTCCCTGTGCATCCTTCAAAGCTCATACTGGAGACTGGGTGACCCCTCCCCACAAAGCCCTTGTTTCCCTTAACAGTCTCCCTAAGTTGATTTAAATGTAAACTTAAGTATTAGTAATTATTTGTCAGCGAGGGGGTAGAGAATCAGGCATGAGAGGGAGATATGAAAAACTAACTTGATGAAGGAAAACAAAGTCAGAAGCTTTAGAACACATTGCTAAAATTTCTTGCGTAAGCATTGAGCCAGCTGGATTCAATTTACAAAAATTTAATATACACGTAGTTACAGGCTAATGTGGTGAGGTTGGGTCAGCAGCTGCTCATAAGACAGCTACCAGGGAGTGAATATACCACAGGTGCATCTCTGCATAAGCTCACGTTCCCTGATCCAACAATCCCAGATTGAACCCACGACAGATTGGGGGGTGACTAGGTACTCTATAGAAATGTTTCCCCTTCTATCAAGTTGATTCCTTTAAAAAGCAGCTCTTTAAAATAGGATTCCACATCTAAAATGCCTATTGACATTGCTGCAGGAAAATATGCACAGGAAAGAGAGGAAAGAGTAATTTTCTCCCCGTAGAAAATTCTTCCTTGGTGGTCCTCAACTCTTAATGCTAACAGCACATAAGACTACTTGAGAAGATAAGTGAGTGAGAAATGTGTACCTGTTCCAAACAGGAAACCGCCCAATGCCCACCATGAGAAGAATGGATAAGCGAATTGGGCTACATCCATCCAAAGGAATAGTGATAAACTGTTGATACACATGAATGGATCTCAAAAATGTGCTGAGTGAAAGAAGCCAGACAGTAGGATATGTACATTATGATGTCATTCATATAAAACTAGAGGAAGCAAAATTAATCTATACAGACAGATTAGTGGGTGTTTAGGGCTGGAGATGGAGATTAGGAAGGGGCTGGGAAAGGACATGAAGGAATGCTTTGGGGTGATAGAAATGTGGTATTTGTCAGAACTCACTGCACCAAAGATTTAAACTGGGTACCTTTTACTGCTAAATTATACCTTAGTAAAGTACAGATGTTCAGAATCCAGCAGGGACCAATTATCAAATTCTCTGGGTTGGGGCCTGGCTGTCAGTATTACTTACTTGAAAGTTTTCCACACAAGCCCCCTGTAATTACTCCAAGGGTTTGGCCGGAAGTTGAGGGACAGGTCTCTGGGGATGTCCTTCACAGGGCCCTGGCCAATCACCCACAGCCTGGACCCTAGGGCATCCAACAGACGCTGTAGCCTGAACACAGCAGTACCCATGGATGGGCCCTCTTCAAAACCAACCACTGACAGCTCCAGCTGAAAGCAGCCTAGAGCCTCAGCAGGACACACCTGTGGGGACCGAGTGACATGGTGTCTCTGGGCAAGGGCTTGATCCCAAATTTGCATCTTGAGGGTTTCTGACTTGTGGCCTGGGACAAGCGCCTTCACCTCTTTTCCTCATCTGTAAACGTTGTTCTGAATAACCCCTACTTACCTTCAGGGCTGACACTACCCCAATACCTTACCTGCATACATTAGAAAATTCACTCCTTCCTTTAAACTCAGATTGTGTTGATTTTATTAGAACGAGATACTTTACTGCCATCTGCTGGAAATAGACTAATATGTCCAGAATGTGAATACTGTCCTTGTAGATGTTGGATCTTTGTGCACCATACAACCTTCACATCCGTACCTCATGGCCTTAGGTCAGAGGGTCAGCGTGAAGAGTAAATAAGTTAATACACTTAAAGCATGAGGACCAGTACCTGGAAAAGAGTAAACACTATTTAAGTGGAGCTACAATCATCATTTGTTACTATAATGTGCCAGTAACTGTTCTAAGTGGCAGAAAAGCAGTGAAAAAAAAATGTATTTGTGAAAGCTGGGGGCTGGGTCAGGGGCTAGATAGCCAGGACATCAGCCCCACTGCTTCCTGCCCCCAACATACATACGTTTTGAGCTTAGCATATTCTCTCTAAACTTCCAACTTCAGTAAGGAGCTAATGAAATACCAAGAGATCATCTGGGGTGTAGACAGAGCCATAGTTTTTGTTACCCTAAAATTTTAAGGTAGGGAGATTAATCAGGTCTTGGAGTGAGAAGGCCTGACTCTTCCTCACACATGGCCCCCACCCTGCCTCCTCCTGGTCCATCTGCCCGGGCCTTACCAGCATCTTCATGATGACAACAAGGAAGTAGAAAGGCTCCTCAAGACAGAGGGGTGGTCCTAGGACCCAAGGACCACACCAGCAGGAGGATGGTCCAGAGAGGCCACATGGGCACCCTTCTTGCTCCCAGGCTTTCTCTGGTCCTGGAAGCAAGAGGTACCGAGACAGGGATCAAGTTCGAAGACTGGAGTGGGTGAGGAGTGTCCTCCCTGGCAAAGCTCCACTCAATCCACAGATACTCAGGAAATGTTCTCCAAGAGGCCAGGGAAAATAGTGACTGTAGAATAGGGAGTTTCTAGGTCAAAGAATTCCCCGACCCCACCTCCTCGAGGATGCAAGACTTAGCAAGGGTGTGAGGGTCAGCCTAGAGACACTGGAGTTTGGAAGCCTCCCCATCCCCTGAAACAGACCCTGAGAACAGGGTGAGAGCGTGTGGATGTGTGGATCCTGTGGTTTGTCTCTCTTCCTATTGGAAAGCAGCTGCGTCAGGCCTCACCTGTGTCTGCATGTGTGTATTTGAGGGGCTTTGCTCTCCTTTCTACTATTTCTGTCTCAAATATCTTGAAATCTCCGTGCTTTCCTATACCTGTCTGCTTTCTCTGAGGGCTGGCCTCTCTGCCTCTGAATCTCTGTCACTAGCGTTTTCTGGGTCCGTCTCTGACCCTGGTCTCTCTTCTTTCTCCTCATCTCCATGTGTGGCTGTCTCTCCTCTGTGTCAGCCTCTGGGTGCTCCCTTCCTCTCTCCCCCTTGCTCCCTCTCTCACCCTTTTAGAACTGGACTCTGGGCTGGAGGATTCCCCACTTTGGCCCCAGACCCACTAACCAATCTCCATCTGGTCTTCCCCCTCCAGGCAGGAGATGAGCCACAATGCCCCTATGAACTTTGGACCCCAGGCCCAATGCTGCTAGGGAAAGTGAGGTGACTGTGGGCTCCCTGTGGCCCTGAGAGAGGAACCTCTTTGGCTGGAAAGGGTACATCGTGAGTAGGGGGGAGCAAGGGGGCAACCCAGCCCCAAAGTTCCTCAGATAGGGTTGGGGAGGATGGGGATGGAGAATTCTGTAGGGAGGGACCTGGAGAGGAGGGTAATTTGGGGAGGAAAATGAGATGACTTAGGGGACTATGGAGAAAGGGGATTCTAGAGTAGGGACCCTGGGAGGGCGGATTCTGAAAGAAGGGTTTTTAAGGAGTGCAGGGGCTTAGGGGAGGAAAATTCCAAGGGAGGCAGTTGCTGGGGAATTCTGGAGGAGGGGTATTCTAGGGGTAGTGGGTCCTGAGGAGAGGAGGGTTCTGTAAGGAACCATTGGGGCAAAAGGCCCTTGAATGAAAGGAGATTCAGGGAAAGAGGGAGTCTGGGGTGAGGGCTGGGAAGATGGGGGGTTGGGGAATGGGCCTCTGGGAGGAGGAGACTCTAAAAGGAAGATTCCTTTGGTAAAAGAAGATTCTGGAGGAGGGGATGCAACGAGGAAAAGGATCTGGGAGAGGGTTCTGGAAGGAGGTGGGTTCCAGGGGGTAGGATTGTGAATCCTAAATCTGGGAACCTTGCGTGACTTTTTACTGTGGGTTTCTCAGCGGATTTTCTGATGGAAGGAGGAGGGCTGGGGGAGGAGGGGATCTAGATGGGAGAATGATTTCAGGTGCTGAGGAGATAGGAGGGACCTCTTCATTGGAGAATCAACTTTGGGGGTTGGGTAGGGGTAGGGAAATTATTAAAGAACTTGAATGCAATTGAGAACCAGAGGTGACCGTTGTGGACCAAGGACGTGAAGAGCCGATCTTCCATTTTCTTTCCAGTCCGCGCTAAACAAGCTTCAGGCCCCGCCCATCACGCTCCTGGGCCCCACCTTCTGGCCGCCAACCCGAAGTCCCGCCCCCTGGCTACAACATGAGCCGTAAAGCTCCCTGCTGTCGCGACGCAGAGTTCAAGGCGCCTGCGCAGACCCTGAAAAGCGGCTGTGGTGGCCCCGCGCCTTCCTTTTCCGGTTGGCCACGCGTTGAGGAACTCTAGTGCGCAACCGGAGCCATGCCGTCCAAGGGCCCTTTGCAGTCCGTTCAGGTCTTCGGACGCAAGGTAGGCCGGGAGCCCGATGGAAGTGACTGGGGAAGGTCGAGGTTCCGAATAGGCCCACGGGCAGGGGTCTGGGGGTCCATCTGGGAGCCGGGTTCCGAAGCTCACATGGTTCCACTCTGTCCTCTCTCACCTTCCACAGAAGACGGCTACAGCCGTGGCGCACTGCAAACGCGGCAACGGCCTCATCAAGGTGAACGGACGGCCTCTGGAGATGATCGAGCCGCGCACGCTGCAATACAAGGTGCTGGGGTTGAGCACGGGCGTTCGGGTTGGACAGCTTTGGAGACAAGTTGATATAAGTGGGTTCCCAGAGTTCGTTGTTCTTGGGAAGATGAGGAATCTGGTATCAGCAATGGGATGTTTAGAAGCTGAATTGGGAGTAGAGAGGTGTGGAGCATTTGGTGATGTAG